TCAAAATAAATTAAAACTAATAATTAACTATATATATTTTATATTTTTGTACATTACCTATTCCACCAAACTTAAATACTATGTATCCTGTTACACTAACCATACTAACCACAATAATTTAATTAATGACAAAAAATTATCATAATAAGAAACAAAAAGAAACCTATCCTAATCTACTACTACTCACAATAAACTATATATTGTTTAACATAAACAATATCAATAGCAATATCATTGTTCTAAAATAAATCGAAATATATCACGAATCTTGGCTTACAAATCCCAACCTAATTCAATTAATCCATTATATACAAAGGTTATCATTTTATATAATGTTATATATTGCCTTAGCAAAATATTAAATAACTGCAATTATTAAATATAAGTCAATCTTCCTAATTATATAATCAGCCTTATTATTATAAATATTTCATATAAATAATAAATAAAATAAAATAATATAATAATTATAAATGTTAATTCCGACTATATCCAATATTCAATAAAATTTATTACAAAATTAATTATATATAAATTCCAAGCTTCTATATATAAATCGTTTTAACATATTCCAAACATACTAAATTATGCCAACTTTACACACTATATACTCCTTCGTACTAACCATATTAAGCACAATAATTTTCAACACAAAAAAATAATAAATATTCTAGAAAAATATCATAATGCAAAAAAATAAAATAACACCCCTTTCCTAATCTAATCTTAAATTATATCTTTATATTTCATTCAACACATTATATATTATTCAACGTAAAAACATATTACAATCACCGTTACGATTACAACAATTACGATTATTATCGCTGTTATAATTATTATTACTATTTTTGTTATTATTACTGCTACTACTACTACTACTGCTAATGTTAATACTATTGTTGCTATTACTAATGCTTGTTATTGTTTAATAATGTTATTACTAGTAATGATTATTATGAATATCGTTATCGTTCTTTTTACCGCGTTGTCGCTGCCGCTGCCGCTATCATTATCGGTGCCGTTGTTGTTGTTGTCGTTGTGGTTGTTATTGTGGGTCTTTTTGTTGTTGTCGGTGTTGTAGTTGTAATAATAGTTGTAGTGGAATTATTTGTTGTTGTTGTTATTGTTGTTGCTGTTGCTATTGTTGTTATCGTTCTCCTTATGGTTATTGTTAGTATTATTCTTGTTGTTGTTCTTGTTATTGTTATTGTTGTTGTCGTTGTTATTGTTATTGTTACTGGCTAAGATGCAAATAAACATATGCTGTAGCAATTAGCCACCGATTGTGTTTATAAGCAATACTAATTTGGCTACCTAAATAATTTTCTTTGAAAATTGCCGGAAAAAACCGCAATTTTTAATATAGCATTAAACTACACTACAAAACATAAACAAGTATTTGAGCAGAAAGAAGTACATACACGAAGATAGAGGTTTGTTGAAGAAACGATGCAAATTTATAGGAAAATTCCGATTAATCCGAATGAATCCGAAGGTGATATGGTACGCTGATATATAATCCCATTCTTTGCAAAAAATGATCTGGGAGTGACAGTGTCAAACCTCACTCAGAAAACGCCCGCATTTCTTCGACTGAAATAAGTAATTAAATGGGGAATAGTATATCGCATCTGGCTAATAGTGACCTTCTGTTTCGGAATTCTAATTATAAGTCATAATTTGTGCATAAGCATGGGCCCTACAAACAGCTTATGGAGAACCGTGGAGCATTATATGCCAATTGCCGCCGCTACTACACAAGTGCCATGTGGGACCCTGTTACGGCTGGGGGTTTGTGTAATTATGTTTCCCTAAAAATATTTTTCCCACGAATGACTTTGTCTAGGCAGGCGACACCTTAGATGGCTATCGAAATAATTAAGTAGGCTCATAGGATCCCGGAACGTGGGAACAAGCAGTAAGAAGAAAGCAACTAGTCAACTCGGCCCACTACTTGACGACGAGGACTTGAAACCATAGGTGTGTGGTAATACTAATTGTGTTACGTCATTAGCCATCGGCAATTGTCTTTAGTCATAGGCGCAACCTTTGTGGTCTTAAATCCACGACTATGTATCTAAAGGTCGTAAATTATTATGGAAATACAAGACCTAATTCCAATTAATACTTTGGAATTTTTTGGGCTTTATGACTCTATTCCTCCATGTTCACTGGCAATCAGCTCAACAATGTGGAAGCCAACCTTGCTCAGGTCATTATAGAGCCAAGTATCGGCCTTCAATCTGGATTTATTTTTCGGAAGAAGAGTTTGGCTCTTTAGCTGGTGATGGGCAAGAAAGCGATTTGTGCATGCTTTATTATGACCACCTTGTGTTTAATATGGATTTTCCAGTTCTAGCACTTACTTTACAACACTAAAGATTACATTATCTCCAAGAACAACTCACACATTTTCCGCGCAGATTGTCTTGAAGGAAAAGGGGTTGGCTTAACACCACATCACCAGGCGTTAAATGAAGAGGTGTTGCAGTTGAATGTGTTTTGTTTTCTTTGAAAATCTTTATCGGATTACGATGCTCTTTGCGCTAGAGTTATCTATATATGCGTTTGTTGATTTTGTGTGTTATGAATGTTTCGCTCCAAAAGTTGCGGAAGTGTAATATTTTTGTTATTGCTATTCCTAGAGCATATAGTTCTAATTCTGTTCATGACAGTGCCACTTTTGCTTGCATTCTGCTTTTAAAATAGATATTTACTCCTAAGAACTAGATTAAGAATCCTCTTGTGTTTTTTGCGAGTTGTTTCGCATAATGCCCAGTAAGCATCTATGTAGATTTCGATATCTAAGGACATCTTATCGTGGCTATTGAGCCTAATTGTCGGTCGTAGAGCTTTTATATTGTTTTTTTTTGAAATATCTAATAAAATATATTAATTTTTTGTATACTGTTAGTTGATGTAATGCTCGCGCTAATTTTGATATCTGGTCGTGTATAGGAAAGCCACTAAATCTTTCCTATCAGCCGCCTGTGTCGTGCATGTTGCTATTGGTCGAATCGTATATCGTCTGCAATATTGGTTATCTTTAGAGCTGTTATACTAGGTGTTGCTGCTGGGTTGCAGTTAGTTTTTTATTCTCCTCCAAGATGTTATGAATATAATTGTTGGACAGGACGATATCGATATTATCTCTTTTATATATAATCTTTCGACCAAGAAATAACGCTATTAATCTTAGTGTTAACACTCCTATTAATCTTAGGAGGAGATTCGCTGAAAATCCTATCGATAATGTGCTGCTCGCCAAGGAAGAGGAGGTCGTCGACGTAGATCATGATGTAGGCCGTTCCATCTTTGCTACGGTAGACGTTAGACTTGGATTTGAATTTTGTTATTCCCATTTTTGTGGTAAGAAATGTTGCTAGGTGGCTTTATCTACTGGCGAGGATTTGAATCCGTAGAGCGTTTTGTTAATTTTCTAGAATATATGTCTATAATTCTTATCGTAAAATTGTGGTGGTGATCGTATGATAATGTCATTTTTTGTTATTGCTGCATAAACGAATATTGCTACTGCAAGACGTGTTAACCACCTTTTGCCGATTGCTAATGTGAGTCAGGTTCGTAGGGTGTTAAAAAGCATTGATGTTCTTTATAAATCCTTTGGCATACATTCGTGCCCTAAATTCGTCGCCTTTCGGTCATAGAATCCATTGGGATTCCACGATATTGCCGCATTGGTTTAGGATCTTTTCATCCTGCTTTAAATATTACTGTAACCACGATAATCCGCATCCTGTATGCTAATTGCTCGCTACTTATTAGACGCTCCTTTTGCGGTATTAATTCCGATATTATTTGCTATATATTTATGCTTCCTTCCTTAATTAACCAATTTATTTTTAGTGGTTTAGCGCCTATACGTTATTTATATGTCTCTATGAAAGCCTATGCGGCTTGCGAGAGATGCCTACACGAGCACAAGTCAGCTTCCAAGTGTTTACGTGGCTGCTTACGCGAACAAATATTGAGTTCGAAATATATTGCGACAATTCCAGCCAAAAAACGTAATTTTTCAATACAAATATAATTTTAACAACTCCGGCTCTAAAATCAGAAATACAATATAAATAAAAATCCCATATCTATCCAAGAATTTAGTTACTAAAAAAATTCTATATACCCAAAATATTTTAAAGCCCTATACGAATGCCTATACAAAAATAACAATATAAAAAAAAAAAGAACAAAATAAAAAAATCTTTTATATATAACAAATAATTATAATTTATTCATTAAATACCCATTAAAAAAAATCTAAACGAAATATAACATAACAACCTATATATTATAATCTATACGAATTCATATCCCCCAAATAAGATTTCCACAAAATACAAATATTTTCCTAATAAATATAAATTCTTTCATTTAATTAAACATATCATTATTCAATTACATCGAACCATATTAGTATTACAAAAAATATTCTCTTAATATATATATATATACAAAAAATGAAAATAATTATTTCAAAATTAATTATTTATTAATTATTTCCATTGTTTTTAATTTATTCCTAATTATAAAATTAATTTCATTAGCACTAAAATAACGATTATAATATTAATAATCAATTAATATATTTACATATAAACATTATAACATATTAATTACCAACAAAAAATATATAAATATATAAAATAAAATATTAAATAAATAAAAATAAAACTATTAATATAAATTCAAAATCATATTATAAATACATTATTAATTCATCAATTTAAATATATATATATATAATTCATAATATTATTAATAATTATAATCTATTCCTTTTAAACCAACAATAATTAATATATATGTATACTGTATATATATATATATATCAATATGTAAATTTATTTAAATATATATCGTAATTATATATAATAATTTAGGCGTCCATTTCTCAATTTCTATAATATATTTAGTTCATGATTGGATATTTGTTATTTATGATGTGTTTTTTTTATTGTGCAATTTGAATACACCACGACACAAACAACAACTAATAAGGGACAGGACCTGTAGCGCGCCGCAAGCAAACACTTGTTCAATTTCAATGGCCACTGTCGTCACTCAGTTATCGTTTCGGGTATTCTCACAGTCGTGCGTTGCTTAGGCTGGCTCCTCGTGAGCGAGACATGGCGAACATTCTCTGGTACGGCGGTGTTTCAGCACAGAACCACCAAACCTGTTAACCTTTGACTATTCCAAGGAAGGCCTTCTTGCAACCTGCTACCTTGACCATGCGTCTTCAAAGAAATTCTACAAGTGTTACCCTTTTTGTCACCCCACTCCGTGAAGCCAGCCCTAGACACAAATGATGTTTGCACTCCTCCCACTAGCATGCCAACTCATCCTTTCCTTGCGGGTCGGCGCTCCAGCTACTGCTAGGTTTCATCAAATGCCGAAGTCGGTTGAGCAGACAGGCACTCCAGGCAAGTTTGTCATTCGCTACTTTTTGCACGCGTTTCTCAAACACATAGGGAAACCATTGAACAATTGGTACGCATTCAGGAAAATGCGGAAGTGACATTCGTGGTATCATGTCCCGAGTTCGTATTTCGAAATGTGCGCCGGTACAGCCTGATTGACCGTAAACCGCGAGAACCCCAGCACAGCCGAAATCTGGATCAAGAACGGTCCTCGCATCCCACCTTGCATCCCACATGCGCAAACATTGAGGGGTGCCGAAAGCCTCCTGTTGGACAATGTCTGGTGTCACTCTTCGCTGCTGAGGTCCCTCTTTTTTGTTCTTGTTGTTTTTTCTTCTTTTTTCGCGCTGCCTTTCGTCAACCCTTCCTCGGCGGCAGCACCATCTGATCCGCCTTGCGATACCTCAGAACTGCTTCTGGCTGCCCTTTCACGAACTTCTCCACTGTCTTGTAGCCTGAGTCAGCAAAGCGGCCGCCTGCTTTCCCACACAAACAGGGTCTGTCGTCAAGATCTCTTTTGGATAGCTTAGTTTTGGGAACTCATGGGACATCAAAACAAACCCAAGGATTCATCAGGCGATGCCCCCATTTCAGGGCACGCCCAACTCGGAATGATTTTGGCTCGCTTGCTCACAGGCAATGACCTGCAAAGTTTGGAACATCAACGGTTCTTGTGATTAAGCTGATGATTCAACACTCCCGCACGAAATGAAGGGAGACTCAGCACTAAAAAAAGAGGCTATGTCTTGTGGCGGGAAAGGATGGGATACCGTCAGCGTCGTTCGTGTTTGTCATGGTAAACGTGTAAACCAAGATGAAGGTTGACCCCATGTTCATCAACCCCTGATTATTCATAAGGTTGTGTCCCCGTCTTTCATTTTGGAGGAGAATACCCCCCTATTAATAAACCGGGGTTCATCAAATGCGGGGTCAACCTTCCCCCAAGAAAACACAAAAAATACGCATCCCAATGGAATCCGCCCCTCCCCCCCCCCCGGATCCCCCCCGGATCCCCCCCCGGATCCCCCCCGGATTTCTTTCGAGCCGCCGCATTTCTCCGGCGCGAAGCCCCGGACCTGGGAGCTCCGCGTCCGAGCCGAAGACACCGCCGGGTTTCAGGTCAAGGGGAAAGAAACCCAAGCGTTCTTTTTTTGTAGGTCAAAGCACAGGCGCGTTGAGGTCAGTTTGTTTTGTTGTTTTTTGCGACTGACTTGGACGCAAACAAAACCATGGGCATAGGGAATCCAAGGAGATGAAAGGGAGAAACCTGCACAACTGGAGTTGAGTAAACCAAAAGGGGTCTTGTAGGTCAAACCACAGGCAGCGCATACATCCTTGACGCCAATATGAGAGCAATACCTTGCTTATCACCTAGCATCGGGCCCAAAGAAGGTGAAACCCAAGGCACCGTTTGCGTCGGGCGCCTATAGCCGATGGTGCCTTGAACTGGAAGGATGCTCTCGGCATATAGAGAGCTCCCGCCGAATACCGTAGCCAACACCCAACTCTGCTGTGTGGGAATGATATTGCTTCGTGCGGCGGATTGCATGATACACAGTGCAAGCAACGCTACCTGAGCCGGAATCGACACAGGAAATTGGGCATGGGAACGGGAATCAATGATCCCAGAAAGACCTTTTCTCGGCAAAATCTAATGGCCCCTGTGAATGGACCCTTCATTTGTCCCACTTGCATCCCCTTTTTACATACCCCTTATAGAGGCAATATAAAGCCTGGAGGTACACACGATGGCTGCACGATGGGAAAAGCTGAGACTCACAGTATTGCCCATAATATATAAGGGATAATGCAAGCGGGGCAAATTAAGGGTCCATTCACAAGGGCCCAATAGATTTCTGTCTAGACCTTTGGAGGCGTTCGAACAGAAATCCTTAGGGAAAACTAAGCAGGTGCAAGTCTTTCCATAGTCTCGAAAAAGGAAGAATCACACTTTCCGTGTCCAGTCACAATTGCCCCCTCAAACAACTTCTCCCAGATAGGTCGCAGAACACAGCCACGTTGCGTGATCAAACCCCAGCAAGAAAAATCCAGAACCAGTTCAGGTTCAGTTGCGAACCTGTGGTAAAAACCAGATTCTTAGGGGCAAATCTCGTGTTGAACCCTCAGAAATCCGCATTTGTTCAGGTTACTGTATCGAAGCTGGACACCATGTTCGAGTCTTCAGGCCGCCGCGTTCACGGACTCCAGCTTCTGGACCAGCTCGCTCAAAGGAAAGCCGTCCTCCGCATGTTGAGCTGGAGCTGGGCCCTTTTTGGGGTGCCTAGATCGCCAGTTGCCAAACTATTTTCCAGCTACTTTGACCAAATTATGGGCTACTAGTGGGTAAAGTGGCTGGAAAAAAGTGGCTACTTGGGGTTCCAGGTGGGTAGAACCTGCTTTCATTGTGGACCTCAATTTTGAGAAACAACCACGTGAACCCGGCACTGAGTACAGCGTGTTGGTTTTTTGTGGGGATGGGGCAAAATCGGGATCCACACAAATTGAGGCAACAGCCTGTCCAGCTGACTGACTCTGGCTCATTGAAGTTCGTTTGTAAAGTCCCGCCCCTTGAAAATAAGCATCCACTCTGGATCCATTTCCCCGCTTGTGTAAATGGTGCAAGTAGATGGCACAATTTCCCTCATGTGGGCAAAGGGAATGACTCAACCACAGGGAAATGTGCCTTCTACGTTAACTTCCAGGTGCTTAAGCCCCCGGGAAAAACAACAACTTCCAGTAGTGATAGATTGCCTTGAAACCAGCAAGGAAAAAAACAATCTTGAGCAGATGCAAGTTAAGCGTTGCCCCCCCCCCCCTTCCCCGGTTCAGCGTATCAGTCCGGGCACTTCTCTTTCAGCACGAGGCGGATCGCCTTTTGCATCACCTGGCGTCAGCTTCAGCCGGTCAAAGCCTGGCCCTGTTTCAGCAAATCTTGCTGGTGCTCAGCAGGGAATGAGGGAATGCTCTGAGAAAAACCTTCCCGTATAGTTTCCTTTAAGGGAATTCCAAGGTTAGTTCATTCCCTCATTCCCTACTGAGCACCAGAGAAATACCAGTCTTCGGTTCTATCATGCACATGGGTCATTGCCGGAATACACTGCACATTGCGACTGGCAATACTCGGGTCCCGAAATGCACCATAGGGCAAAGGATGATCCATGAAAGCGCAAGGATCCCGAAGACACGGTTCAGTCTTTGGCCAAGCTGGGTCATCAAACTGCATCTTGAGCACAGCCACTCACTCGTTCCTCGTGAAATCAGAAGCCTTGGTCACAGGGCCGCACCTAAAGAGCACAACTAAACACACCCAGCAGGCGACGGACATTTCCCAAAAGGAACACATTTAGCATTGGCAGTCCTATGTCCTAAACTTACGCCAATGCTAAATTTCGTATTGCCAGTCTTATCAGCACTGGCAATGCTAAACTACGTACTGGCAATGCTAAATTGTGCACTGCGCACGCTGCTGTCAGCCCATGTCAATGCCGCACTCAACGTGGCTAGCATGTGTTTATCTATGGTTGGCCGGGTCTCCCACGTTCTAAGTGTTATGCTCTAACCGCTTGGAACCAAACACGGCGCACTCGACAATTTGCTGCCTCCAGCTCGCACATGATGTCCTAACTTGGTGTGTGTCACTGTATTACGGACAATTTAGAAAGTCCCGCATGTCCCTCCCAAATGGACCATAGACTACTGATACTTGTACAGAACCTCCTGTGCTTTAGTGCTCAGCTTGAATCCAATGGTCTTTGCCAAACCAGCCATTGTTTAGGGGCGTGATGATGGGGAGGAAACCTAAGGCGGCACTAGAAGGGTTTCTGGACACTTTTCTGGGTCCTGATATCTCAGAGTTGGAGATAGGAGCCAAGTATGAGACATGCCCATCTTGACCACGCGATGGCCTTTTCGCGCTTGCCCTGCTTCTCCATCTCCTCTTGGTCTACCTGCGCGCAGAATTGGTTCCTCCCTTCAATTAAGCCGTTTTGCCAAGCGTACCATTGAGCGCTTTGACTGCCCCGCTTCTCAAGTCATGGGCCTGCCTCCTGCTCATCCTCCTCCTCGTCATCGTCCTCATCGTCGTCGTCATCGTCCTCGTCATCATCATCTTCTTCGTCGTCGTCGTCATCAGCTGGAGCCGCGGCCTCAGTCAAAGTTGCTTTGGAGACTGCAACAAGTGCTTGGTGCATTGCTCAAGAAAGGCAATGACAGCGGCAAGGGGCGGGTTGCTGCTGGCCCCTCTGCTCGGAACTTCTGAGGAATCAGCAGCCTTTGCTTCCGCTGCTGCGTAGCCGCCTTTTGGCCCCGACTTAGCCTCAAGCAAAGGCAAGGAGACATGATCCAGCAACCACACAGAGTGAACACCAGCAGCTGCGAATTTTGTCGGCAAAACACATCTGCTATCTTCGCTGCTACGTGAGTCTCTGGGATGTAAAGGCACCTCAAGACTGTCCCTGGCGACGACCGCAACCCAGCACCAAGTCTCAGCTTTGGCTGGCTCATGACAGCTCCAGAGGTACCAACTCCAAGTCAATCTCTGTCAATGCCCGCTTTGCCGGAACCCTTGAGACTGGGGGTGCCAACTAGGGGTCAGGCAAAATGGAACAAGTACCCGCCCCCCTGCGGTTATTGTGTTGACATGAAATGTGGGCGTTTTCGTCCCCAGGAAACAAGCTGTACACGAACTCGTATGGCCATGGGTCAAAATCCAAATCGTACCCCCAGTGAACATCCCAATCACCACTAAAATAGGTTCTAAAATGGGTGGTGCACCTACCCCAAAATGGGATCCCATTGGTTTTGACCACGAACTCATATTTCTTTGGGCCCCCCAAAAACGGCCGGGAGGCCGCCAAAAAAGCGTGGCCGGAATCCGGCCTCGTTGGCCACCCGAGTCGACAACTCCTGGGAGGTGCTGAGATGTTTCTAGCCGCTTTTGGATAGATCATGTCAACAATTACTCGGTTGCTTTCTGCTCACCTGCTAAAAAGTGGAACTTTTAATAGTTTAATGGAAACCCCACTAGTTGGCAAAAAGTTTAAGTCCTATCATCCAAGCAACATGCAAAGGATAGATCGTGTCAATCCGTAGGTGTTGCAACCAGAAGGCCAGTACAACAAAAAATCCCAGCACCGGAATGGTTCTTCCAGTGCTTGCCAAGAAAAGGAGGGACGCGTCAAGCCCAAGATTGGACCTTTGGTGTGTAACAGGGGAAGGGGCATTTGAGCGTTGCCATCGTTGCCTAAGATTGAGACCCCAGCCTTGGTGGATGCATTGGGGAAACATGCACAAAGCCGCTGGGGGCTGTCCCGGTATGTGAGACAACTCGAGTGAACAGCTTCTGCGCCATTAATTCCCTCACAGGGACATTCGCAGACTGCCGACCTGCCACTTCCACGGCTCCTGCTGGAAGATGATGAGCTTTTGCACCAGATCTTCTTTGGAGCCCTTCTTTCCAAGTCCTGAAGGACAAGAACTGCCGGGCGAAAGCACGGTCGAGTCGCCTCATGTTTTCCCAAAGCAAAACGGGAAGGGAAGGATAAACCTTTCAGGATACCCTCCCACCAACTAACATGGAAGTGCAAAAAGGCCCTTTCCAAGAGGAAAGTAGCCTTTCTACAGGGGTCTGTGCACTTCCATGTTAGCTGGTGGGAGGGTAACGCAAATGGTTAACCATCGACCCAAAAAAACAAACAGGTGAACATGTCGCCGAGAGAGTAAACGCTGAACGCACGCAGGACGCACAGGCGCAAGGCCAGCCGTCTTTTGTCATGGACTCTTCGGGGGGGCAGTGGGGGGGGGGCTATCCCTGGATAAGCCCAGGATAACCCAAGGATAAGCGCTTAATAAGGCCTTATTAAGGGCTTAATAAGGGATAGCCCCCCCTCCCCATAGCCCCCCTGGGGGGTCCATTATTTTGTTTGACCTTGGCGCTGACACAAAAACATTAAGATGTCAATCGAGTCAAGCGAGCTTCGAGGACAGTTTTCTGCATGGCCCCACCCTTTATGTCAAGAACAGAAAATCCGCAATCATTTGAGTCATGACTCATGACTGATGACGACTGTATTGCGCCTCGAGCGACGCATTCATCTTCGAGCTCTTTCTTGGAAAGTCCGCTCCTTACATTGCACTTCCACTCTCCAACGCGCATATATCATGGATTACTTACCCACCCCCCCTAAAGGGGGGTCCCCCAATTTTACCCTCTCACTAAGCTTGCTGAGAATGACTGGTTTTGCGGAGTTGTGCATATCCGTTAGGTCGGGAAGGAGTTGTATTCCGACAATGGGGGAAATTAGGAATGCACAAATCTTGGCCATGAGGAGGTGAGTACGCATCAACCACTAATGTCACACACCTCAAGTTGCCAGTTTGAAACCTTACTAAGGCCTCAGTAAGGCCTTAAACTCAACAAGGCCTCAGTAAGGCCTCGGTGAGGTCTCAGTAAGGCCTCAGTAACGCCTCAGTAAGGAGTGCCTCAAAATTGCTGGTTCAGTTTCTATTGTAACAACAAACATGGTCGCGGCTTGAGATACATTGAAAGTAGTTTTCTCACCCTTGGCAGCAACAAGTTTCCCTGAGGCAAGGCAAAACTGGTTTTGAGGTGCCACCGAGTGCTAAGTGAGCACTGTCAGCTAGTAAGGTCATAGAAAGTCCTTAGAAGGGCTCTCAGAAAGGGGGGCCCCCCGCTTAAGGGGGGGTAAGTAAGCCATGAATATAATCTGCACAAGCAACATGAAACAGCACTACTTCACCAACTCGGCTTAAGGCATCCATGTGAGTGTCCATACCCCATAAACTGGGCAAGGCAACCTGAACTAAGCCGCCGGCCAATTGCGATCCCGAAACTTCTTGGCATCCTACGAGGACGACGTGTCAACGTATGAGTCTCCCCCCCTTCGTTTGGCCCACTAGGCACCAACACAAGACCTAGAATGGCCATAAACACGAAGTCAAATGAGAGCGTTGAAACTCATGCTCGCAAGGCCACAACCATCCCCAAGAGCCCCAAATAAAGAGTCCCAACTGAAGCTCTTCCGAGAGGGGGTCTTGCGACACTGTAAGGTCGCAACCCGACCACTTTGAGTCAAGTCACTTCCTTTGCCTCAAACCGCGCCCACGTGTTAATGTGCACCCTGGGGTCCGCGAATTTAACCCGGTCCTTCAATGAGTGCAACACGAAAGTGACTGAGCTTCCCGCAGAGTCGTATCTCTCTCGATAGGCAGCAACTGAAAGAATGAACCCGGGTTTCTCAAACTAGGTTTGCCCTCGTCTGAATCAAGCAGAGTCAAATCACACGCACGTGAGCAGCAAAACTAACATGGTTGCCCACCTTTCACTCACCTTCAAGAATAGGACAATTTAACTGTTGACTAATGCCGTGTCATACCTACATCATCTTGAGCAGCCCCCGCCTCCGCTGCAGATGCGGATGCAGATGCAGGCTCTTCATCCTTGCTCTCAGCCTGCGGTATGGCACGTGCACTGCTGCGTTGTCGGGTTTCGGGCTCCCAACCATTGGTCCTCACGTGAAAAATCCTGCACATGAATATGGCCATGGGTCAAAATCCCGTACCCCCAGTGAACATCCCAATCCCCACTAAAATAGACTAAAATGGGTAAATGGTACCATTGGTTTTGACCTACAGCCACATGGAAACTCGCACAGCGACTTCCATGGAATCGCCTAGGTTGCGGTAGGTCGTTTCCCTTGGAGAGATTCTTGTGGGACAGCTTAGCGAGGAAGCTCACTTCGAACTGAACACCAAAATAGGTGACATATGGCTGTGGGTCAAAAATGGGTACCCAAAATGGAACCCTGGAAAATGGAACCCATGACTAAAACAGGCCTTCCCCTGGTGGTTTTATGTTGACCCACACCCATATGGGTAAGGTGGTAGTGCTCTGCTTTCGGCTTCCATTCAAAAAAACACCTTTAAACGGCTTTCTTAAAGGGGACCCCCCGCACTGACAGGGGACTAATTAGGAAGCGGACATGCGGGTGTCTCATTTTTCTGGGAAAAAAACCCACAAGAACCGAAACAAAAAGCTGGCCATCCGGTTGGTTTGCCCTTGCACACCACCCCAAAACCGGGTCTTTGCCTCCGCTTTGCCCGCGGCGCTGCCCTTGTTGAAGTCCGCGAGCTCCGCCTGAAGGTGCATTTTTTGGGCCGTGGTGTCCCTCTCCCACAAGTCTGCTGGGACTGTGGCCATGGAAGGGACAAACAAAGGTTGACCAATCGACAATGAGCTTGAGCGCAAAAACCATGGCCCAAAGCAATTTTATTTCTGGAGAATGGTGTGACCCATGGTGTAGGGTATTGTAGGATTGTTGTTGGAGAATGGGCGATCACTCATTAGAATTGTGGGTGTTCGTTCTCCTTTGGATGACATGCGTGGTGCAGCTCTTGAAGCGCTTCAGGAATTGCTTCGGGAGGCCGGGGGGGAGGTCCGCACGCAACAAAGCAGCAAGCAACCCGGCGGGCAGAAAAAGGACAAGAATTGCCAACCATATCACAATGTCCATCTGACACCAACTGACGTGTGACATCTCGTTCTGCTTCGATTTTTCTTTTCTTTTCTTTTTCTCCGAATCCAACACCTCTCCTGACACGAGCCACAATCAAAACCCGAGTAGATGAAGGTTAGTAAGGAGCAGTCCCAGCCGGAAACCGTTGCGGCCGCCTTTCCAATTCTCTACGTGATTCTGGGTGCACTATTTTTGTACCAGGTTTTGATTGTGGCTCACATGAAGCTGGCACGTTGCGACCTCGTGCTGCGTCTCGAGGGCTTCCAACTCCTTTTGCGCGGCTTCCTTCATGGCGCCTCAGGAAACTTCCGGGTCGCAGCGCTGCCGTGTTTTCCTTCACGGCTGGCAACTCCCCTTGGCAGCCCGGGCCATATTAATATATATATATATATATATATGTATATATGTATGTATGTATATATATATATATATATACGTATATGTATATGTATATAACCAAGTCCGGCCATAGAAAACCAAGACCCACAGTGCCCCTAGCGCAAAGCATTCAAAGCATTAGAGTTCAATTGTAAAGATCGACACCATGGCACCCGGGAGAACCCAAAGAAGCGGAACATACCGGCTCAACATTTCGGGACGTCGACCAACCAGAAATCAGCAAAAACATATTCATTCCAGCAAATGGAAGCTAACTCTGCCAGGCTTCGGCTTCGAACAAGTTTTGCTGACAATTCAGTGATTTGTGGTTCAGGGGTCTCAGCGGTTTTCGTGGAATTGGGGTCCTACCTCTGGGCCCGCGCGACATCGCGCGACCGCGCGATGTGGTCACATGCACATAAGGCCCGACCCAAACGCCAAAAAGAGCGCTCCAAAGCCACGGCTTCGTTTCAGGCCCTGGCCCTTCAGCTTCTTAATCTTCTTTTCGATCTCCTGCAACCCAAAGTCCGAAAAAGATACTCCAGATCTTGATCTTGCAGGGAGGCCATCCATTTCACCCCCGGTGGAAAAGGCCGGGTTCGTTGACTCTTCTAGCGACTGGAACCAAACGAAACGACCCAAAGTGCGAAAAACCTTTGGGTGGCAAATGGAGGCGACCGGGAGACCGGGCACACGCAACTTATCCAGGAACGCTCAGATCCTTCAATCCTCTGCAATCCTTGGGGCCGGATGGCTCTTGTCACTGTTTGCCCGGTCCCACTTCGGACGGACGCCAAAACAAAGCCCCCACTTATCACCCAGTGGCCATGCCAACAATCACATGCCACACAGAACACGGCCTCGTGTGCTTTGCGACCCTGACCTTCTGCCAAACACAAGCAGTCATGATGGCTCAAATAAACATGAGATAGTTCAATGCCACTAACCTCCGTCATGCCAATGGAAACCAGCATGAAACTAACATCTCGGAAGTAGTTTTGACTCCACAATCACGTCACTTGGGAGAGTTACACCCAAATTCAGCAGGACAAAGGAATCAAACACACACACACAGTATATAGGTTTGGGCGGAGAACAGCATTTTACTTGGGTTGTGAATGCCCCCCGAACGTTGCAACCCTCAATTTTCTCACACAAATTGGCCAAGAGTGACCCGCTTTGGGAACCTCTCACACAAACTTCACGGGGGCAATGGCTCTCTCTGTCCTGGCGCTGCTGCTTCTGCCGCTGAACCAGCTTTGACCTCTCTTTTTTCTGGTGGGGCTTTGGGAGAAAAATGAGTCCAAATCTGTAGGACTTTGCCAAATCACTGCAACCGCACAAAGATGTTGGATGCCAAGAATGACATGTTGGAGGTGCTTATAGACTCATTGGTCTTTGCGCAAGCCAGCACGCCCAGCTCTGAACGCAGTGGTGCCCGGCTTCGTTTTTGTTGGTGATGGATTGTCCTATGACGTCAACAACAAAACAACAATTAGATTTAGGCTCAGTTTTACAGTGATAGAATATATATATTCTCTTGTTTGTTTCCCTCACTGGTAAAATGTAAAATGTATCCTAAGTCTACCCCAGACAATACGTTGTTTCCTGTCCCGACCAGAACCCAAGGAGTCCACCCAATGCAGTGTAAGAATCTACGAAGGCGGCCCCCTCCAACGATTGGGAAGTTCTATGGAAGTTCCCCTTCTTCTTCATTTACCTAGCTCTTTGCCAAGTTGGCTCAACCCCACCCCAACTTGGACTCGTACAATGTTTTTGCCCGTGGACTTCCTTGCCACGAGCTTCTAAGGCAACAGCTTCCTCAAAATCGCCCCTTCCGGAGGCAAACAGCATTGCCAATTCGCAAGGCAAACGCCGCTGTCCGAATTTCACTCTTCAACTCAACCCAGGACCAGGGCCAAATCGTACCCCCAGTGAACATCCCAATCCCCACTAAAATAGGTTCTATAATGGGTGGTGCACCTACCCCAAAATGGTACCATTGGTTGTGACCCACCGCCAAATCTTTCACTGGTTCACGTCACATCTCTCTCTTCGAAGCCGATTCGCCTCTCTGCATTGAGGGCGTCCATGGCATTGGCCAACTAAACCCCCTCCGACTTCGACTAAAGGGCTCCAGGTCAGCCCGGCTGCGACTCACTGCACTGCTTCTTGCGATGAACCCCTCAGCTCTGCGTCCTGGGCCTGCCCTCTCTGCGTTTTTGTTGGCATGTCCGTGACGTGAAGCTGATCTCAGCTGGCACAGCGCAGCGCATGAGGCAATTCAGCAAACGACTGGGCTCATGGACGGTTCATCCGGATTGGCTTGGGCTGTGTGTCAGTCGCAGGGCAAAAGATGACCAGGCTTCTTGCTGCCTTGCATGCTTAGTTCATGGATAGAATTCGGGTTTCGCTTCAAGGACTGGGCACTTGTAAATCCCTTCATCCGGAAAATGCTGTCCAACCTGGGCCTTTGGGTCATTGCCCTTCGCCAAACGCATGCTCACCACGCCAAATCGCTTTGGTTCATAGAAGCCAGCCACAAGGAAACTCTATGGAGGAATGAGCCAAATGCCAACTCAGACCCTGGTCTAGTCCAAGTTCCTGTAGAATTGCCGATTGCTGGCCTCTGGGCTTTGTTTATCCCACGCTGCAACGTCAAGACCGGTACCACAGAGCTGCTCGCAGATTAGCTCGTTATGTACAGTCTCGAATCTGATGGGCGGACTCCTCTGTTGCAATGCCCGTACCTCACTTCCTGAGTGAATCGGCCAAACAAAGTCCAAACTTTTTGTTTATCCTCCCACCAGCCAACATGGAAGTGCACAAACCCTTCTAAAAACGACTTTCCTCTTGGAAAGGGCCTTTTTGCACTTCCATGATAGTTGGTGGGAGGGTACCACTACTCCAGGGGTTGATTCCCCATTCTTTTCAACCATCATTATTTTCAAAACCCGGCTGTTTCCCCTGGGTTTTTGATGCTTTCCTGAAAGGAAGGATCCCTGCAAAGAATGGGGAAGGCACAGTAGAACTACAATGATCTCCCCAAAAAGTTAAAGTCCATGAATTCAGGGAGTGGGTACCGGTGAGCACATGAAACACATTCCTTTCGCTGCAGTCCTCTCAAGAGGCACTGGCTTGAGTTCGTCCTTGCAACAGATCGATGCAGGAGTTCGTCCTTCAGGAGTCTTGAACCAAGGCGGCAGTATTTGCCAAGCCTTTCCTGATAGACATGTCAATGTCCACGTCTATGCCTATGCACCTTTCTGCTTTGTGAAACTTTCTTTGTGCTTTCTGCGTTCGTCCGTGCGTCAAAACTTGATCTTATAAACATCTCCGCTTGAGGCTTGCAACGAGCTATTCAAGTTGCGCGACAAACAAACAGCAAGGCCGGACAAATAAACCCCAAGCCTGTATTACGAGTGACTCAAAGTGAAATACTCACAAGCCGGGTTTGAACAAAGAACACAAAAAACATCCAACAACCCAGTCATTCAAGTCGCATCTCTGAGACACATGTCAAGCGCTCACGCGGCACAGGGCGTCAGAGCTGTCACACCACCTTTCGAAGCATCAGCTTCACAAACTCCTGGCGACATGCGGCGAAACGCGGGGCACAAGCAGTGCTCGTCTAGGGAAAACGTCCAAGTATTCCAAGAGGTGCTTTGCCAAACAAGGGGTAGAGCGGCAGATCTTGTTGAAAACAGGAGGGTACATAGTTTAAGACATGGCAATCAGAAAGCATGGATTGTGACCATCTCCATGCTTTATGCAACTTTCTTTCCCTGGATGGCGAGCGGGGCTCTGGAAAACAAATCACAATCCTTCTCCCCGCGGTTCCTTTCACAGCAGACAATCAGGGGTACTTGGCACCCTGTCTCTCTCGCTCTCTCTCTCTCTCTCTCTCTCTCTCTCTTGTGGTTGTTTGTCCCACACGCAACCCCAAAAAAGAGGATCATTGGCACCCAGGTCAAACTCGGGCATCTCTTTTGCTCGCATCCCGCAGGCGCCCAGGTCATGAGACGGACTCAACATGGACACTCAGTTCTTGAAGGCAGGCTCCCAGGGTGTCCAGGGGTGTTCTCCAAGCGAACTCGCGCTACAATGCCCTTTAGACTGGCATAGAAGCAGCACACTAAGGGATTGAGCGCATCTACCAAGATGCCCCTCTGCATTTGACCATGTTGAGCAGCAAACGTGCACATTGCTGGTCTCAACTGATCCAATAAGCCTGCTTCTGGGTGTGCTCCAACAACTGTCAGCATGCAACCTCAATGAGGCGGCATTGAAACGAGCTCTTCACCCATGCCCATCTAAAACCAGGAAATCAACGACGCGGCAACCCCAACTACAACGCAAGGTCGGTCAACCGTTGACCTGATTCTAGCAAGTTGCGTGTAGCTGGTTTCTTGGAGTTGCGCACGCAGCACCTGAAGGGCTACAAGCCTATCCCTCAAACTCGGACGTGATGATGCGTCGAAGCGGTCGAGCAGCAGCAGCAGGCTGAACCCGTTTGCTCCAAACGTGAATCCTCCCACACCGCATGCCGTGCCACTTGGTTCCAAAACCAGCATGCCTCTTTCAAGAAGCTCCGAACAAACGAGGTCCCCGATTTCTGCACCAGGGGTTTGCTCCATTTACTGAGCATTGCTTATTGCTTGAAGATGTGACAGGAATGGCACATTCCTCAACAATCAAAGGCGCATCATTCCGCACGAGTATCAACAAAAATAATCCATCTGTGCTTTCTGTCAGAGACCCGCTTTAATGACCCTTCCATTCATCTCCAGAAGAACTCCTGAGCCACCACAGCTGCTTACAAAAGGATTTTGTACTGCTCTCTCCGGTCTCTAAACTTTTTTCTTCGAATTCTCGTCCAACCCCTTGGGCGGCCCCTGAAGCAACTCGGATCAGCACGCCCCCCAAAACCGGCCCGCTTCGCCTGATAGTCCAGCAAGCCATCCTGAGAGCCGGGACCCGGCGGCCATCTACTCAAAGGGTACCATCTTTTTTGGCCCCTGTTAACGCATGGATTCATTATCTTTCCTTTGGCCCCTTTTATGGGTTGCCAAGAGTTGGAACCTGCGGGTAAGGGCAATCTGCAAAGTCTGAAGCTGTCAGCCATGTCAATCGAGTCAATGCCCTAGCTCTCAGGCTGGAATGACGTGAGAGGACAAGATACCGGGTGACCTTAACTGTTCAAACGTCACAACAGAGCAATGAAACGTCACACCAGCAATGCTGTCATGCACAACACACCATCAAATGGTCTCTCAGCAGCAAGACTGCATGTCTGTTGTGATGACGTTGGTCTGCTCCCAAGAAAGCAAACCACGCTGCAAGGGTTGTGACTCAACCAGTGGATAGGCAACACGAGTCTGACCGTTTTGTTCCCAAACACTCAGTTGTTCAGTGACCCTGGAAAAAAAGGGAACCCTTTTTTGGGAAGACCATTTTTAGTGGGGCAGCCACCAAAAAAACGGGAAAAGGGTGCCACTGAACAACTGAGAACAAGTAAGAATATCAAGTCCGGACCCGCCACGCTCATGTGCCCCGCCTGATCGGCTGGATGCTGCGACGCGGCTTCCGCTCGATACCTCGGCCAATAGCTGCTGGCCAAGCGCGGGGGGGGGGGAATTTCGGCGCAGCGCTCTTTGTTGACGGAAGGGGAGCAACACCATAATTTTTGGCAGTTCAGTGGATTTGGATTTCGACCACTAAACCACAAGAAGCCAACATGTAAAATGTTTCCCAACAACAACCATGCGCTTCTGTCAGTGCGCAACAGGGCATTTTTCAGCTGACACAAAACTCTTAGCACGAGAACCAGATATGGCAAACAAAGGGCTGGCATGGAGCAGTTCGTCGGACGCGACTCAGCTCTCCTTAAGGGACCACCACAACATGAGAAGCTTGCTGTACCCCAGCTTGCCACAAAAATGGGCAAATAATTCACGTCTAGCCAACAAAAACACTGCAGGTTCCCAAGACAAAACGTCATAAACCCCACGCGTGTTGATGCAGCGCCCAATCAAATTGAGACCAATGCACACTTTGGTCGTGTTTGTTTGTGAAAACCATGGAACAGTTGAAATCATGTTGCATTTTTGTTGAGAAAACACAATATGGTGGAAGTGCCATGCACACAGAACAGACACACAGACAACACGAAGACACACACACACACACACAAACAACACACACACACAGACAAACACACCCACACACACACAGACAACAACACACACGCACACCAACAGACGTCCAGGCCTTTGTGCGATATGGTCCGGCTGGAAATTGGCGCGGGATAAGTACCGAACGATTGGACTTGTTGTGAGCAGCCTAGCAATCGAAATGCTTGAATTATTGATGCGGTCCACCATAGATTCATCCGTGCAGCCCATGATTGGAGTCAAGCGTGTAAATAACATGAGTGAACCTATATCGTACCTTAAAAATCATCGGAGCAAGACCTCGATATCAAATAGAGGCAATCTGCCGCATTGGGCTGGGGCCAGCATTGGAATCAGTCCCAGCATCAGATCTGCTCCAAAAGCCCTTCACAGCGCTAGAAAGCTGGTCCCTGTAAAACACACTGGGCTGCCCTCAGATCCCCTGCTAAAAGTTTAACCTTTAGTGGGTTAAATGGAAATCCTCACTAAACACAAAAAAGCTAAAAGGCTAAGCGGATGGCTGAGAGGTAACAAGCAAAAACAGACTCGAGACCAACTTTCTACCTTCGTGGTTTGGGCATTGGACGCTCGGAGCACGACGCAACTCAGCCCATCCTCACAAGCTCAGGCAGGCGGCTCGCTCAGGAAGTTCTCGAACATCTCGTCGGTGTAGGGCAAGTTCCCGAGCGTCCTAAGGAGGCCATCCTCAAAGTTCTTTTGTTCTTTTTGGGGGGGATGGGAATTGTCTGACTGGGCCGCCCGTTTTCAGATCCCCTGGTAAAAGACTTTTTGTGGGTCAAATGGAAACCAACGCTAAACACTAGAAGGCTAAAAAGCTAAGGAACCTGATCACTGGTTGAGCCATCAAGAAGACACATGCCATTCCGTGACTGAAAGAACCCCTTGGAAACCAGGAGTTCTTGCCCAAGGCTAAGTTCCGAAAGCCCTGAAACTACGTACACTTGGCCTCATGCACATGGCGCACAAGGGGACTGGGGCGGGGCTTTTTGCACAGCTGTCATTGGCTAGTCGCTCTGTGCATTGAACACATATGGGATCTGTGTTTTTTGAGAGAATGCTTTTTTTGGGTGGTTGAAAGGGAAACCAAGATAAAACACACACACACACACAGACCATGTGTTGGGACACCTCCAAGCAAACATGTCCAAATTGACAGTTGGATGACAGGCTGACCAGACTAGTGCGTGTTTTATTCATCGGGGAACACGTGACCAGAAAACCTCTTCATAATGCCAATGGCACTGTGCCAGCAGCTTCGTGCTTTTCTCGGAAGCGTTGCCATGCCTCACATGGCCATTCTCACAGCTCCTCGGGCGATCAACGACCCTTCCATTTGCGCAAGGTCTCAAATCTACCAGCATCTACCAGCTAGAGAAACGACCATTCCGAATAACCATCTGAGAGCTCTCATAGTTCTTGATGGCTAACACCAAAGCGAGGCTCAGTCAGTTTGGCCCGTCGAAACCTAGACCAGTGGCCAGGTGGAGAGAGAGAGAAGCACCGGTTTTCGCTGGGAATGCAAGGGGCTAACAAGAATGACCATGCTACTAGACTATAAGTCATGACCATGGCAATTAGAGTTGCTTTTTCCTCTATTTTTAGTCCGCCCCTTGTATTAACATTCCCTCTCCAAACCGGGAGGAAAAAAACCAACAAAACGAAGCACACGTACCTTTTTTCTGCACCTGCAGCTTTGGGCCTCCGGGCGTCATTTGTTTCCGAAAGTCGCTCTCATCGTTGACGCTGATGAAGCCGCTGCCGTCCTTGTCGAAGACCGCAAAGGCCTGGAACTCAGGACCGCTGTCCCATCCTAGGTCATCCAGAGAGCTTAGAATAAGTTGGTGCCAACTGACCCAGGATCCTACGTCATCCAGAGAGCTTAGAATAAATTGGTACCAACTTTCTTCTTTTGCCTATAGTAGGGGAACCCTCCCAATCAACAAAGAAACGGTATAAGTTGGCACCGGGGGACCTAACATCCATCCTTCGGGTCCTTCGAGTCCCCGGACGGCTCAATGAAAACAGGCAAGAAGCCAAAAACTCCGGCGGGCGTGCGCGGTTCGTGCGCATGGGTACTTCTCAAGAAATACAAACCTTGCAAACGACGGAAGCCTTCCCTTTGTCAAAAGCCCTCCGTAGATTTGAGATTTACTCCCACTGGCAATGAAGAATCATCAAGTCAAAAAGGCTTCTGCAGCCTTTTGGGTCCTCCGTTGGTTTTCTCACCTCAAGTCCTTGAGGTCTCTCTCTGTCTTGGTCTCCCAAGAGACCCAAGAGCCAGGAGCTCCAACAAGGAGCACTGGTCGCCCCCTGGAAGTTGATCGACCTGTTTTGCCGCGAAAGGAGCCGCCGAAAAATAGAAAGGGGCACCCAGGATTCATTTCAGCTCTCTCCATCTTTCCCAGCTTACCTTTTGGCCTTCCCATGTGCCGCTAAGCTTGGCAAAAAACAACCACCTGGCTGTGGGTCAAAAATGGGTACCCAAAATGGAACCCTGGTAAATGGAACCAAGGACTAAAACCTGTGGTCCCCTGGTGGTTGAATTTTGACCCACACCCACCTGACGAAAGTGGAAGATCTTGTCTCGGAGAAATCCGGAGCTTCTCACACAAATATTAACCCCAGACTAATAAACCCCTGCCTGGTTGATCTTTGTTTGGGGGGTGTACCCTTGTAGTGGGGATTCAGACCACTTTTGGAGGTAACACCCCCCCCTTCAGAATGGGACGGGTCAACATTAATCCTGGGTCAACATTACAGTTGACTACTGAGGATGCTCTACATATTGCAAGTAGGTAACAAGGGAAACTCAGCAAAACACATCCCATGGTTTGTGGTTGGTTTACTTGCAATAATTTAAAAGCATCCACACGAAAAAACTTGAGCCACCCAAGTCAGCTGGCCGCGATGAGCTTCTGCTGCAGCACCACATCCTGACGGTTCCCCCGGCGGGTGGGTTTTTCAGACGGTGGTTTGAAGGAAAACGGTAAGCAAGCCGGAAAACCCTCAGTTCGTTTTTTTTGGTTGGGGGGGGAGTGGGGGGAGGGGTTTCCAATTTTGACAAATCACCCAAATTTTCCAGTTCACAGATTCAACCTGCCAAGAGAAAGGCTCCGGCTCTAGGTCCAAGGTTCCAAAAGGTCTGAAGAATCTTTTGTTCCAACCCTGCCAAAGGCTCAAAGAAGGCAACAGCAGCCCTACTCGCCCCTGCTCAGCTTCTCCCCCACCAGTTAAGTGTTCAATCAACGGCCAGGCTTGCAGTTGAGAAGCACTTCTCTTTTGCGAGAAAAAAACAAAAAACAATAACGCGATTCAACCTAGATGTCCCGACACGCATCAGGACACTATGAATGAGACAACCATCAAACTACAAAGGCAAAACACACACACACACACACATCCAACATGTGATTGGGAGAAGCGTGATCCGTATACATTCCATGATCCTCAAAAAGCCTTTCCAACTTCCCAACAAGAGGTTGCTTGGCATCAGTCATGTCTTAAATGGACTGGCAAACAAAACAACGAACACCCCTTGTATCCCTTTGTGTTTACAACACATACGCGTGATCTTCCCAAAACCGTTTGAAACAAGTCCATGAAACGTGTGTGGTACTGCCTGCCCGCCTGCTCTCGCTTGGCCATGATCTGAAGGAAGTCTGCCAGCGTGACAGTGCCGTGCCTCAGAAGCCAAGCCCCCCCCCCAATCTGATGGACCCTCCTGTTTAGTGATGTCGTGGGTCGAATTCCTGGCTATGCTGGGTCAAATTCCGTCATCTACCCTCAACATATGACCACCTCTTGCCCCAGAAGCTTATTGGAAAGTCACCGGATGTTTGGCAAACAAAAGCTTAGCTCAATCATCAAGGGACGGGCACACCCTTGCTCGCAATTGTCTCCAGTACCGTATCTGATTGCAACAACACGGCCAGGGATATACATACATATATATATATATATAAAGGGCTATACTAATACAGTTCACGCTGTCCTATGGTCATGAGTGAACTTGGCTATAAAGTTCCTCGCAAGCGCAGTCTAGCTGTTTAGGCGCTGATATTCCACTGACAGAAGTGTGCACCACACCCTAAAAGTGGGAAAGCTCACTTGCGCAGCGGACAACATCGCCATGTAGTTGTCCGCCCAGAACTGACACTGCTGGGAACAGTGTCACACAAAGCAAATGGCTGCGCGCGCACCTTTTTGTGCTGGCAGATTCGAAAGGGTTACACATCCATAGGCGACCTCTTGGACAAAATAGATGGATTTCCCTGGTTAACCGGGGCATTTAAAACTCCAAACCAGCTGTAGGTCCTGCAGTAGAGAGGTTAGAATAAGGGTACCCTTCTTTCTGTAGTCTGTTTTAGCAGGGGAACCCTCCCCCAAAAAAGAAACGGTAAAAGGGCACTACTGGGGGACCTAGAGCTATTCTTCGATTTTTCTAAACAAACCGATCAACATGACACCCATGCCCACAAGCAAACCCACCCGCTGGATCTGGTGCAGCTGCCTGTCTGCGGCGACATCCCGCATGTCCTGCCGGCGAATGACTCGGTGCTGGTCGCGGGAAAAGACACGACGAGTCACAATGAAAACAATCCCCACGTCAGATGGGGACATCCCCCTAAAATCACACTCCAAGGGTTTCATCCGGAAATCCCGACATACCCAGGAAATCCCTCTTGGAACTTGGTCTGTCAGGTTCCATATGGATGGGAGGGGTCCATGCTGACCTGGTCTACCCAGAACCATGCTTCAAGAATTAAAACGGCGCAGGCACCCAGTGGTGGCAAGGGGATTATCCCTTAACCTTCTACCTGGGAATGTATTTTGGCTTACTTAAGTCGCTAGAGGGGAGCCTTTGTGGTCCCTCTTGAAAGCCGGGCCCCAAGCAATGGCCGTATGTTTGACCCCCGGCACTTTTGGGGTTGCAACCCAAGGCAAAACAAGGGAAAGGAGTCTCTTTGTGCGACACACAAACATATGAAAAGACAACTGGTATCAATCGGCACTTAGACTGAACAAGAACCTGCTCAGAGCAATTCTCAACAGACAGTAAAGGTTATACCCTTGCTGGCTAGTTCCACTTTGCAGCACCAGAAGCAAAGTCAATGGAGAAGTAACTTTTCCCAAAACCAGCTGCGTTAAACTCAAAACTGTGCCTCTTTTGCAATGTGCTGGGCGTTGTGTTGAATTTAAGGTGTCATGGCAAACGTGTCTGGACGACAAACAGCTCGCATCTGGCCTCGTCCGAGAGCGTGTGCCCACGTGAGCGCATCAGGATGCCCAGCTCCGTCTTAGTGGTTCCGTCCACTCAGAGAAGCCGTCAGCGGCTCGTAACCATGGATGTGCCAACACAAATGGCCATGGGTCAAAAGCCCGTACCCCCAGTGAACATCCCAATCCCAACTAAAATAGACTAAAATGGGCGGTGCACCTACCCCGAAATGGTACCATTGGTTTTGACCCACAGCCAAATACACACGCCGGTACTTGAGGACAAGGTGGTCAGGAAGAAGTAGAGCCGAGGCTGCGAATGGATACATTTATCACATGATCAAGCCTGCTTGAGTAGTATCACGATTGTGGTTCTTTTGTCGCTGGCCTGGGCCAATTGCAGCTAGGTTTTCCCTTTTTGTCTAGGGGTTGAAAATCATCTCTATCGATCTCGAGTAAACATTCCGACTTTGACCGTTTGCACACACACGCCCTTTGAATCGGCACAGCAGTGACTTGGATTTATAAAAAAAAAAAAAAAAAAAAAAAAAAACACGCACGCACACAAACACACACCTCCCTTCCAAGGAGTCACGCTCCTACCCAAGCTGTTTAGACACGATGCCAGCAGTCTGGTTCGAAGGTGAGAGGGTTTTGGCATCTTAGTGTTCCAATCCGTGTCACGGCCACTTAAGCATCCCAACTCAAAATTGGGAGCCGACCTCTCCGGAATCCTCTCAAAGTAAATCAGTAAGAGGCGTGTGAGCCTGCCATGTCCGAACCTCATATCAGAATAGATTGGGCTGAGTCGGGTTGTGAGGATCCAGACAATTCGCTTGGCTGCTGACTGGCTGGAGCACGCCGGTGTGATTCTTGTCCATGTCATTGAAGGCCTCTCTCTTGCAAACGCCACCAGTTAGACGCGAATAAACTCCTGATGGTCACCCATTGACCAACAGAAACTTTTTTTAATTACTAGTATCGTATAACCCCTGATGAATAAACCCACCACTTATTATTATGGGGGGTCCCCTTTTAGTGGGGATTCCTTTCTTCCTCGGGATCCCGGACCCCCCTTAACGAATAACTGGGGGCCTGCCGAAAGCTCTAAACGCTGTTTTAGACATGCGAGATATTATGTTAGCGTTCCGCGGCACGGAGCCGATCTAGACACATTCTATATAGATGCGAAACGTACCACAGCCTGAGCAATGCCCGCACCGCAGAGGGTGGTGCCAATGCAAGCTCGACGGACATAGACTATGTACGCATGCACATTAAATGACATCTTCTGGACATATGTTAGTAGCCACATAGCATATGCGAGTTTTGATTGTCCACATTGCCTGCTGTTACTCGCTATTCGTGAAGAATTCTACCCTTCTCTTGGGCCTGCTCAATAGGAAGCAACGCAGGTGCCTATGGGAAACCTGCTTGATCGAACGGTTGACACCAAATGTGTTCAACAAGCCCCTCGGAAACCACAACCTGCGTATGGATCTTCTGGTTCTTGGCCGTATCTGCTTTCAGCCATCCCAAGTTCATGGCGAACATCAGAATTTCCGGGCCAGGCTTACCAAACACATTATACGTATATACATAATATATATATATATATGTATGTATATATATAGATGTATATATATATATATATCTACCTACTTAGCGTGTATATACGGAATTAATTTTCCGGCAGCTCTGCCATCAAACGAGGGCTGCGTTTTCGGACCCCACCATTTTTGCACCACCTTCGACACAGATCGGGACCCTAGTGGTGTCTCTTTCTTCCATGTGTTCAGAATGCCCCAAGCCCTTGACCAGACCCACCCCATGCAAGTCCCACCTTCTTTTGCCCTTATTTTAAAACAGCCCAGGAAGGCAATCCAACTGGCACAAAGGTCAGCTCAGTCTGGCAATGAGCTGTTCAACTCAGACCCTGCCTCTGTGTAGATGCGGACCTGTTCCTCCGTGAGCCCAAACTCCATGGCTCACCTCGCGCGGGCTTTACGGGGTAGACGGGACTTCGGCGCGAGGCGCGCCCTCCCTCCCTCCCTCCCTCCCTCCCTCCCTCCCTCCCTCCCTCCCTCCCTCCCTCCCTCCCTCCCTCCCTCCCTCCCTCCCTCCCTCCCTCCCTCCCCCTCCCTCCCCCTCCCTCCCTCCCTCCCTCCTCCCTCCCTCCCTCCCTCCCTCCTCCCTCCCTCCTCCTCCCCCTCCCTCCCCCTCCCTCCTCCCTCCTCCCTCCCTCCCTCCCTCCCTCCCTCCCTCCTCCCTCCCTCCCTCCCTCCCTCCCTCCCTCCCTCCCTCCCTCCCTCCCTCCCTCCCTCCCTCCCTCCCTCCCTCCCTCCCTCCCTCCCTCCCTCCCTCCCTCCTCCCTCTCCCTCCCTCCCCCTCCCTCCCTCCCTCCCTCCCTCCCTCCCTCCCTCCCTCCTCCCTCCCTCCCTCCCTCCCTCCCTCCCTCCCTCCCTCCCTCCCTCCCTCCCTCCCTCCCTCCCTCCCTCCCTCCCTCCCTCCTCCCTCCCTCCTCCCTCCCTCCCTCCCTCCCTCCCTCCCTCCCTCCCTCCCTCCCTCCAACAACACAAAGCCTGATGCCAGCAAGCAATACACACGCCAGGATCAGGCCGATCACTCTGAATTCTCGCCCAAACTGAGACCCAAATGCCCATTTGGGGGACCCAGATCCTCGATTTGCTTAAGTCCCCTGGAAAATAATAAATATGTCCAGTAGTGATAGATTCCCTTTAAAACCAACAGGGGGGAAACAAAAAACAAGCAACTTAACCAATTGGAAGGGATAATGAGAGGCATCAACTCTTTACCCATGCCCCGCCTGGCCAAGCACAGAATCTCTGCGCCGCGGGGAGGGAAGCCGAGTGCTGCGGACACCGAAGATCAAAGTGGACTTCCGATGTCATGGAATCTTCGGGGGGGGCTAGGGGGGGGGGGGGTATCGCTGGATAAGCCTAGGATAACCCAAGGATAAGCCCTGAGTAAGGCCTTCTTAAGGGCTTAATAAAGGATGCCCCTCTTGGGGGTCCATGACAATGGGTTGTTCTTGAGTCCAGCCGCATTGGGTATTGGGTGTCCATAAACCCCCAATGCTTTCATATTTAAAGGGGTTCAGTAACCCCTGGTGGATCAATAGAGGAGTGGTTCCCAAAGGGTGATCCAGAGTCCCTCAATGGGACGATTTTGATCAAACTCAGAATTCCGCCCTCGTTGCGCACAAAACTCCGCCGCGGTCAAGAATCCGCCATCCCCAATGAGGCCCCTATGCACATACATGAGTTGGTCATCTCGGGGTTGTGGCGGGCTTTCATCTTCACAGCAACTGACAAAAAATGTGAGTTTGGTAGCACAATGTGGAGAATTCGCAGCCCAACACAAACCAGTGGCAAAATGTGGAGAAGGATGTTTCTTGCTTGGCTTCACCAAAAAGGTGGTACCCTCAATATAAGACACCCCCGTAGAAAAAGCAAGCCCAGCGACCAAGCGAAGGGACTCCGTGCACCGGCGGATGCCACAACGCTGAAGCTAGCTGGGTGCGCTGACAATTCTTGTAGGAAGCCAGGCTTACTCCGTTTGCGAAAAGCTTATTCTCCGCCCCCCCGCCCCCTAACTTCGGAGTTTTTGCCCCAAGGGGTTTTGCTAACCGAGTATTCCTCCCTAAATTCAGAGTTGTTCCCCCACCTAAGGGGTTTATAGCCACACCAAGAGGTGCAACCCGACTTTGGTTGAGACCTCTCCGTGTCCAGGTTTGGCCCCTTAAGTTGAGAAATAACATGAGGTTTGCAGGGGGCAACCGCCCCAAAACGGGATCTCTACAGTAGTGGGAAAGGGACGGTGTGTATGTGAACACATACCAATGCGCATTCATGCGCACATATTTTGCTCGCTGCAGCCAAGCCGGTCATTGCGAGGCTTGTGATTTAGCACATTGAGCGTCAGAAAACTCCTGGCGAACGAGTCGTTCATAGGTCAATCTTGCGAGTCGGGTCTAAACACTATATCTGGGTGTGATTTTTTCTCCACCCTTTTGGGGACATCAGGTTCTCGGTGGGGATTCATGTCCACCTACCACTCGCGAGGTGGTTCCCAAGAAAGACTTCATGGCCTTAAGTCCCCTCCAGGTAGGCAGGTTCCTCCTAATTTGGTTTCCCACTGAGCCATTTCCCTGCTGGACTTGTGTTGGCATGTGCTTCAATGGGCTGCAAGAATAACTCCACGGTTCATTTTGTCATTAGTTGACCCCGAAGCTATTATTTATGTGTCTGTTCGGCCTCTGAAATGAAAGGCAAAGATAACAGAGGAGCAAGCGAGAATGCCAGGCAATGATAGTCTGTCCACAGGTCATTTTGATTCTGTATGCTGGTCGGATGCTGGCGTTCCGCAAACAAAAACAATACACCAATATTGCCAATGTCACCACTTCGTGTTCAAAACACAGACACACACACACACACAGTGAACCAACAGCCCTCGACATACCAAGTTGCTATGGATCCCTACTTGCCTACAGGCCCAACATGCCCATTGAGCACCAGTCGGTGCTTGAAGGAAAACCGAACAAGGACATTCTCTTTCGGGTCTATTTCATGAAGCGCCAAAGGGTAAACAGGGGATTAGAAGCACAAGATCCATCTTCCATGCGAACACATAAACCCATTCCAGCAGCTATAATGGAAACTGACAGGACCCTCTTGAACACCCCTCCCGTCCACTTTCATGATTGTTCGAAGAGGGTAGTAAGAAAGCTCCAGCCCTCAGAAACTTGTTGGCTGACCCTAAATGGGTTCAAACAAACAGGTTTCTTTCGGATGATGCATGCATGATTATCCTTTGGTGCAAGCGATCGGAGCCTTTTTATTAGAACCTGCTTTGGTCTTCTGATGGCGTGGATGCTTGCACCAACGCCTAGCTACAAGGTCGCGATGGTTCAATGGGAGCCTGTCTCGACATCTGAATTGCACCACTTTCAAGAGGGTTCCTCAACTTGAGGAGCGGGTGAACGAAAGCTAGCAGTTGTTGCATGAGATGGGTCGGTGACAGAGTGGATTCATGGGTAGCTTGTGTACAACGAGAGGCCCGGCAAGATTCGTAGCATGCGACACGCAGACGCACATGGTGGCGTGGCAAACCTTGCAAAATGAAAACAACGAGAGGCGTCAGAAGCTGTCTTAAAGCACCTCTGGGTTCTGCATGCTGCGTGTGCAAAGATTCTTGCGAGGTGGTTTACTGAGAAGACTGAGGTCTCAAATGAACAAGCTGAATCGGTGGAACATGTAAAAGTTCGTAGCACCAAGTCCAAAACGGGCAAACGGAGACTGCTGAAACACTGAGCCACTGCCCGGGGGGAGGGGTGGACCAAGGAGGAATCGAGCCTGAGACGGGGGGGGGAGGGGGAGGGGGGGGGGGGGTGGGTCTAAATAATTGATTTTTTTCTATCTTTTCGGCTCAAATAATTGGGCAGTTGAGCCCCTTACCTTGCTTACGCAAGGAGAAACTTCAGCTAGCTAAAGCTAGCTTTCGTGACAAACAGAACGCAGCCATTTGAGTCTCAATGCCATATCAGTTGCCCAAAGGACTCAGAAATACAAGGTTCACCTTTGGGGGTTACGGCTAAAAAATGGAGCAACACTGGAAAACCCATGGGTCAAAAGGTCGTTCTTGGACAAAAAGGGGCGGCGCTTGGATAGTTGTCCTTTTGGCTTTCTTTGAAACAGCAAAAGGCTACCGCAAAAAAAGAAGAGGAAAACCACAAAACAAACAAAACAAACAAAAAACAACAAAAAAAAGATAACCCAACGCCACCCAAATGAAAAGGCTACCGAGAAAACAAAAAACAAAAAGAGCACGGCAGCCCCAACTTGAGCGCGCCATGGAGCCCTGGGGACCCGTCAGGTTCCAGGTCCTTGAGGTCTTGGCAGTGCTTGATCAGACTCTCCACCTGTCCGGCGTTTTGACTTGACACGGCTCTCGGGGTTCAACCACCCACCAAACCAAAGGAACGAGCACATACGAACACGCAAGCAAGCAAGACAGCAAAGAAGCAAAGAAGCAAGGATGCAAACACACAAACAAACGAACAAGCGAAGAAACAAACAAACAAACAAACAAACAAACAAACAAACAACCAAACAAACAAACCGACAAACAAACGAACAAACCAAGCAAACGCACCAACAAACAAACCGACAAACGAAAGAACAGACACAAAGCAACGAAGATGTGCGCTGGGAGCAAGAGGTCGAAACACCAGCAGATCCACGGAGACTTCCATTGAGTTTGTCCATTGAGTTTGCCCCAAGAGACGGCTTGGTGTATAATGAACAAAATACATCTAAAGGGACACGTGTCAAACTAGTAGGACCCAACAATGGCAAGTGTTCCTGTTGATTCCTTACATCAACCTGAAAAAGCGACGCTCAAAAGAACGCACCCATGAATATCATCTCCTTTTGGGCAATAGCCAGTCCCAATGAGTTTGCAAGTGGGATTGACCCTGCAAATGATTTGTGCTACCAATCATCGAACTCTACAAAAATGACTCCCCATGCTTTGCGTTCGTTGCTCAAAAGACCAACATGTTATGTACTGTCCTCAAATCCCCTGCTAAAAGTTCAACTCTTGAGTGGGTTAAATGGGAGCCGGCACTAAGCCCTACAAACCTAACACCTAAGGGGATGGCTGGGAACCACCAGGAAATCCCAGTGGTGCTTTCTTCAGGGAAGCCCTACCATGCCCTACCCAGTGACCGAGCCTTCTCGGCTTCCTCCGTCTGGAATAAGCGGATTGCCTGCATGCGCGGCACCGGGCTGGGAGTTATCACGAGGAGTGGGGCTTCATTGGAATCACGGAGTAGAAAGCAACGCCCTGCGCCTCGGACAATCTCAACTCAAACAGATACACAAAGCTGCCAACGCTAGCCGAAACGCAAGGCGTTGATGTGTCCCAAACGTGTTCACCATAGGGGGCGGAAGGCTAATCATGCCAGGCGCATTGTTGCGCTTTAGGCAAAAACATGGCAAAAGCTGCAGCATAGACCTGGTCACTTCTGTCCGTCCATCCAAAAGGAAACAAGCAAAGGGGCCCAGCTACTAGGCGCCTTATACTTAGTACCGGCACACACCTAGAAAGTGTCCGCGTTTCCACATCCGAACGTGCTCCTGGGAACACCTGTGATCAGATAGAACATCTCAGAATTGCTTTTGGGACATGTGCACTCAGACATCATGACTTCAGAGTGCCTTTTGAACAACTTTGGACAATATTGGGTTTGTCTCAATTCCGCTTTCCACGGCCCCAAAAGGGTAGCGCGAAAAAAAAAATAAAAAAGAAACAAAACAACAACAATGGACAACAAAAAACAACAACAACAACAACAACAACAACAACAACAAGCAGTGTCTCATGTCGAGCCTCTGGCATGTCCAGGAAAACGGTCGCAGGTAGATGTGGGGTAGACAAGGGCGGTTCACCAAGGTATGCGTCGAAATAGGGGAACCCCCAAAATGGATGGCCTCCTGTTGATTTCCTGTGAACCAACAGTCAGAAACTCAAACAACGACATACCCATCTTACAATCAACCAATGCATTTATTTCCTTGCATATTCAGTTCCGCAGAAAACACATACTCAATTCAGATTTATTCTTGGTGGGGAATCGCTTTCAAATGCCAGCTCCCAAATCCACACGGATTCTTGTTCTATTGAAAGCTAAGGTCTCGAACGGTTCGCTGGGCGTGTGGGGCTTTCTGAAAGCCGAGTTACCGGCGGCAATCCACACACACACACACACACACACACGCGAAGCCTGCCAATCAGCCCGGCTTGCCGCCCTTGCGGCAAACAATCCAACAAAGGTAGGGATTTGGCAGGGTTCTATCAAGGGAACATCCAGAAACCTGGGCTGTCCTCCAATCCCCCACTCTACACGACTAAACATCCAAAAAAGCTCAGGGGATGCTGAGGGGATGCCTGGGAGCCACCAAGAAACCACCTGATTGAAAAACAAACAAGATCCGCGAAATCAGGCCGTGGTACAGGTTGGACGTTTGAAGTGTCCCTGTTCGAAGCTCGGGCGATCGATCCGCATGCCTCGCCCAAGAGATCTGAGGCCTGCTTGTAGTCCTGAAGCGGACAGACTTGCAGTCCCACATCTGGACGTCCCCTTCATTGGAGGTGAGAACATGGCCCGCGAGAAAAGGGCAACCGGTGAAACGGATGATTGTTCTGTCCGCATACAGGAGCCTCCTAGAGTGGGATGCGGACAAGCATAGAACCAGCAAGGGACGTCCCAAGCTGCCAACCCGATCACCCCTTCAGTCCCAAAAGCAAACCCAATGCGTGGCATTGAGCAAGCAAGCCCCGAGAGGGACCATGTTAGGCGCGTTTTTTCTGGCCATGAGCTTGATGGTGGACCTTTGAGCGGATTCTTCAGGCAATGCCATTTTTTGGAAAACAATTCTTCCTGGACACCCTTGCCTCAATAAATGGCTAAGGTGCTCCAAGAATGTAGACATAAAGTGAGAACTTACCTCCAATTCCCTCATTTGGCTGTTAGAAAATGGGAATCATCTCATTTTCTCCCAGCCTGCGCAGGGTTTCCAAACAAGGCGGGAGACAAGGACAAGTTGGGGTTGGGGGTTGATCAATATTCCCTTCGGCCCCAAACCGACCATGGCCCACCTTTTCACGTTTGGTGGTGAACGCCATCTTTGCTGGCGGTTTCCCTATCCCATGTTCATCAGACCTTTTGATCCGCCAGCTGCTTCTTGGGCCGAGCACACCGGTGATCTCTCACAAAACGGGCCATGGAGCCGACCTCGGCAAAGGCGGCAAACTCCCCCGCGACCTGCGAGTCGAGCGAGCCGAGCCCCTGCGAAGCTTTTGCCCTCAGATTGACGCGGAAAGCCAAAAGCCGTCCCATGGTTTGGAGCACTCTCCTGTTGAAGACCCCCTTTTTTTAGGTTTCATGTGAATTTGACCCCCCCTTTTTTGGGGCTCCACGTAAAAAAAATGCCCGGAACCTTTCCAGGACCTTCCTGGGCTGTAGCTGTCGAGGAATAAGTCAATTAACCCTAACACGTCATGGATGACACGAGTCGCCCACACAAACATATAGCGGCTATGGGCTGGGAAGGATCTATTCTCCCAGGACATGACTTGTCATTTTCATTGCGGCTTCTGTGAGCCACGGACAACATTCATGGCGCCAAGCAACGGCCATTTGGTGAGGGCTGATAGCCTGGGTTTCTAGGCCGGAACGAAGATCAGCTTCTGTTTTTGGAGTTGGTAACCTTTTTGAGGCTGATTTGAAGGGAAACCAAAGGATCACCACCCATTTGGGGTGTGCCCCGTTTTGACACATATCCAAACAGACATCGAAAAGTATCAAACATCTCGAGCATCAAGGCCTGGCGACCGCCAACCCTCCGCTTCATATGCTTCACGCGGATAGGAACCTGCCAAAGTAGTAGGTGGACCCACTATGATCTACTGGGTTGACATCTCAAAACCAACGTGCCCAAGTCGTAACAGTTAGGCATTCTGCAGGGTCTGCAAGGGGCCAAGGGTATGGTCCAAGAAAGGAGTTCCACTTCTCTTCATGAACTTCGCGGCTCGCGTTTCTCAACGGGCGGTCACGACGAGAATCTCTGAAAATCGGAGCGCGGCTCATTGACTTTGTTCGGCAAAGTTTGCCGCGCTCCAGCCCTTTACCAACAGCTCCCAGGATCGCTGTGTCAAACGGGAACCCTGGATTCGTACACCCTCGGGCATGGCGAACCCCGAGCAGGAAGACCGGTTCATCATTTAAAAGGTCAAGCCACTGTGCGTCCAACCAACACGAAAGTTAAAGAAAAACACCAAACAATGTTCAAATACCTGACCAATCTTAACATCGGGGTTTGGACCAACAATTGCAAGGGGAAGAGCCCCAATGCCGAGGGCTACCAATCCCGGGACCCCATTCTCCACGGAAACATCTCACCACTGAAAACGGCGAGAAGTGATCCTTGGAGCATTGCAAGAGATGCATCTGGGCACCAGAAAATGGCGCTGTGCCTGAAAATCAGAAGCCAAGAGTTGCTTCCTGCTTTGCCTGTTCAAGTATGGTTCTGACGTGTCTGTATCCTTGTGTGCATACATGTTTATGCATATGGTGCTTTGTCTTCAGTAACATGTCATGAACGAAACATTTGGGATCTGTGGAACCCCCGAGCATGGAAGATATCCACAAACAACAGGTGGACTGAGGTTCGCGTGGGATAGTTTCCCAATCTGGACTTGGGAGTTGATAGACCTGATTTAGAGGGTTACGCCCAAAGGCACTTCGCAAAGGGACTTCCAAGAACCCATCGTTCGTTGAGGTCGTTCAGCCCTAAGGTTGTCAGAAAGCAACACAAGCCCATGCTCTATTTTCGGTTGCTTTCTGCTCCCCTGCTAAAAGTTTAAAATTTAGCGGTTTAATGGAAACCCATTAGCTGGCAAAAAGTTAACGTCCTAACATCCGAGCAAAATGCACCAACATATTTGCTTGGAAGGTTCCTTGATCAATGCCTCTGAGACTCTGCGCACCTCAAGCCGGACATGTGCCACCCTTTCCTGGAAACACGCAGCTGGGTCATGATGTGTTTACTGGGCTGGCCCCGCTAAAAGTTTAACTTTTCAATTTTAGTGGGTTGAATGGAAATCCAAAAAGATCAAAACAGCCAAGGAGCCGGATGGCTGGTTGAGCCACCAAGTTTCTCTCGGTTCCAGCGGATCCAGCCACAAACCCCCGAAATTCCAAATGATCGCTCTCTCGCGAGCCGCGGCAAGCGGCTACTCCCAGGAGTAGGCGCTCAGAAGAAGGGCGGCGCCCACAGCCAGCGAGCCCCAGATCACCCAGCCCTCGCGAGAACTGGAAGAAAGGCTTGGGCACACACACGCACATATATATACATACATATATACATGTGTATACCCCAGACGCTCCCAACTCATGTTTCGGGCCCTCGGGCCCTCGCGGGCCCTCGCGGGCCCTCAGGCTGGTTTGGGGGGGGGGGGTAAGGCTCGTGGCAAGATAGCGCAGATTAGAGAAAGCAAATAGATACTCTAGATACCGGACACTTAATCTCAACTTAGTGATTATCTACTGTTTCTTTTACTAGGAAGGGATAAAGACAAATAAACAATAAAGTTGATAAAATATCAAACAAATAGATAACACAACAAACAGAAAATAAGATAACAACACACAGTTAAAACAGCATAATTGATGTAAATAACTTGCAAAGAGCTTGCCCTTCAGCAGAAGAAACGTTGCAGCCGGGTGAATCAAAACATGCAACTTTCGAGCTGGAATTGTGGAAGTGTCAAGCGCTGTTCTCTCGCTACAGAGTTACAAGAGCCCCCGTTACATACCTCCGTACGAAGATTCGCGCCGCGTCGGGCGTTGCATGCCATTAAAAACCATAGCCATGTATAATCATAACCCGAACAATGGCATCATCCTGGCGCAATACAATGTGGACCTGGTACAATAACATACGCGTCTTAGAACCCACATGCATAATAAAAAACGGGGAAGGCCTGGCTTTGCAAAGAAGAGGTTTGGAGGGGGCCGCGTTTTCCATTTAGTTTGGGCTGATGGTTCTAGTTTCATTTAATCCGCTTCTCCATCTAGTTTGGGTTGGTGGTTTGGAGGGCCGGTGTTTCATTCGTTTGGGTTGCTGGTTTGGAGGGGGCAATTGTTTCGTTTAGTTTGGGTTGGTGGTTGGGGGGGGCCGCTGTTTTCATTTGGTTTGGGTTGCTGGTTTGGAGAGGCCGCTTGTTTCATTTAGTTTGGGTTGTTTGTGTGGAGGGGCCGCTTGTTCTATTTACTTTTGATTGGTGGTTCTAGTTTCACTCAATTTTCGTTGGTGGTTTGGTCGGAGGGGTCCGCTTTTCCATTCGCTGGTTTGGAGGGGCCGTTTTTGTCATTATGTTTGGGTTGGTAGTTTGGAGGGGGCTGTTTTTTTCATGTAGTTTGGGTTGCTGGTTTGGAGTTTGGAGGGGCCGTTTGTTTCATTTAGTTCGGGTTGGTAGTTTGGAGGGGCCGCTTTTTTAATTTAGTTTCTTTTGGTTGCGTGGAGGGGCCGTTTTTTCTGTTTGGTTTGGGTGGGTAGTTTGGAGGGGGCCGTTTTTCCATGTTTGGGTTGCTGGCTTGGTTGGGTTGGTTGTGTGGAGGGGCATTTTTTCCAATTAGTTTGGGTTGATGGTTCTAGTTTCATTTAATTTGTGTTGGTGGTTTGGAGGGGGCCGCTTTTGCATTTGCTGTAGTTTGGGTTGGTGGTTTGGAGGGGCCGGTTTTCCAGTAGGTTTGGTTGCTGGTTTGGAGGGGCCGCTTGTTTCATTGAGTTTGGGTTGGTTGTTTGGAGGAGGGGCCGCTTGTTTCATTTAGTTTGGGTTGGTGGAAGTTACGCAAGTTGGGTCGCTCAATTCACGCTTCTTTACTTGCGAATTTTGGAAGAAACCAACTAGGTCAACATCCAGGGCCCCTCGAATCTGAGTTCCGGGGCTGGGGAGATTGAAAGGCCGACAAAAAGGTCAAAAACCCGGGTTGTGAAATCCTAGTTCCTGATTTGGGGAGACCAACAAAGTTCAAAACGCTGAAAATCCCGGGTCCCCAAAGTGATGTGATGTGTCTTTACTTGGGGAGATCAAAAATTCCGGGTCCCGAAAGTGATGTTCCGCCGGGTGTTTCTTTACTTGGGGAGTTCAAAATCCCGGGTCCCGAAAGTGATGTTTCTTTACTTGGGGAGTTCAAAAATTTCAAAATCCTGGGTCCCCAACGTGATGTTTCTGTACTTCGACAGTTCAAACAGTTCAAAATTCAAAATCCCGGGTCCGAAAAGTGATGTTTCTGTGCACGGGGAGTTCAAACAGTTCAAATGCCGTTTTTTTGCGCAGTTGGAGGGCCTGTCACTGGCCTGCTTGGTTGGGCTCCTGCTTTGCGTGAAGTGGGGTTTCCTAGGGAGGGTCCGGGGCCCTCCCTCCTGAAAGGACCCGCCTGTTTGTCGGATACGGGGCCTTGCGGGCCCCTAGTGCAATCTGGACGGGATCAATGGATCGCTGATCGACCAAAATGGCCTCGAATCACACCTCCCCTATCCGACAGTTATCCGACGGCTATCCGACGGATATCTGACGGTTAACCGACAGTTATCCGACGGTTATCCGACGGTTATCCGACGGTATCTGACAGTATCCGACGGTATCCGACGCCGGGCCCTCGTAGACCCTCAGTTTTGGGGGCCCCGGCCCCGGCCATCCGACGGTTATCCGGCGGTTATCCGACGGCTATCCGAAGGTTGTTTGCAGCCCAAAGGCCCCAAACAAAAACCAGCCCGAAATCTCCTACGACCGCGAGGGCCCGCGAGGGCCCAAGGGCCCGAAACATGAGTGGGAGTGTCTGGGAGTTAGAGTTTCAATTTTGTTTGTTGTGTGTGGCTGCCATGCTTTTTGTGCAGTTGGATGTTTTCTAGGCCTGTCACTGGCCTGCTTGGTCGGGCTGCTGATTCTCTTGAAGTGGAATGTTTGTAGTAGGGGCTGTGTGGATGCCGCTTTCTTGGCGCAGTTGCTTTTCTTCAGGGCCTGTCGCTGGCCTGCTTGGTCCGGCTGTGGCCTGCATGGCCCGCCTGATGATCCGCATGTCCCGCCCCACCGCCCACCGCCCACCGCCCTGCGTGAGGCAACAGCTCTTCGCAAGCAAGATTGCCAACAACATCTGCAGAAAACAGGCAGGCAAAGACAACAATCAACAAACCGGAAAATAACACTTTGCGAAAAGCAGCAGCCCAACCAAGGAGGCCAGCGACAGACCCTGAACAAAAAAAACGGCAGCCGCGGACAACAAGCAATTAGCAACTCATACTTAAAACAATCAAAAACTAATCCAACTTTACGAAAAACAGCAGACCAAGCAGGCCAGTGACAGGCCCTGAACAAAATCCAACTGCGCAATAACAAAAAATGGCAGCCACACACAACAAACAAATCAGCAGCTTTACTAAAATACAAGAACGCGAAAAGCAGCAGCCCGACCAAGCAGGCCAGCGACAGGCCCTGACACAAAAACAACTGCACCAAAAAAGCGGCATCCACACACAAAAAGCAAATTAGAAGCCCTACTACAAAAATCCAACTTCACGAAAACTAGCAGCCTGACCAAGCAGGCCAGTGACAGCATGCACAAAAAGCATGGCAGCCACGCACAACAAGCAAATTGGAAGCTCTACTAAATAAATCCAACTTCACGAAAAGCAGCCGCCCAAGCAAGCAGGCCAGTGACAGGCCCTGAGCAAAAATCCAACTGCACAAAAAACATGGCAGCCACACACAACAAGCAAACTAGAAGCTTTACTAAACAAATCCAACTTCACGAAAACCGACGAAAAGCGGCAGCCCGACCAAGCAAGCCAGTGACAGGCCCCTATAAAAACAACAACTACACAAAAAAAACAAAACAAACAAAACGCGGCAGCCACACGCAACAAGCAAACTAGAAGCCCTCGGGAAAAACCCCACTTCACAAAAAGCAGCAGGCCGACCAAGCAGGCCAGTGACAGGCCCTGAACAAAATCCAACTGCACCAAAAAAGTGGCATTCAAACACAACAAGCAAATTCGAAGCCCTACAACAAATCCCACTTCGCTGAAATCACCAGCCCGACCGAGCAGGCCAGTTACAGTCCCTGAAACAAATCCAACTTCACCGAAAAAAACGGCAGCCACAGACAGCAAGCAAAAACAATAATCTCTATATATACTGACAAAATAACACGAAAAGCAGCAGGCCGACCAAGCAAGCCAGTGACAGGCCTTGAAAAGAACCAACTGCACAACAACCAAAAAACAACGGCAGCCACACAGAACAAGCAAACTAGAAGCCCTTCGGAAATATTGCTTCACGAAAAGCAGCAACCGGACCACCAGCGACAGGCCCTGAAGAAAAGCAACTACGCCAAAAAAACAGCATCCACACAGCCCTACTACAAACATCCCACTTCAAGAGAATCAGCCGCCCGACCAAGCAGGCCAGTGACAGGCCTAGAAAAAATCCAACTGCACAAGATGCATGGCAGCCACACACAGCAAACAAAATAGAAACTGTACTCCCAGACACTCCCAACTCATGTTTCCGGCCCTTGGGCCCTCGCGGCCCTCGCGGGCCCTCGCAGGGCCTCGGGCTGGTGTTTTTGGGGGGCCTTTGGGCTGCAAACAACCTTCGGATTACCATCGGATAACCGTCGGGTAGCCGTCGGAGAACCGCCGGATGACCGTCGGATAACCGTCGGATACTTGGGCCGGGGCCCCCAAAACTGAGGTCTACGAGGGCCCGGCGTCGGATAACCGTCGGATAGTAATGATAGGGGAGGTGTGCTCCTCTCAAATCTGGTCCAACTCCGGTCAAATCTCCCCAGGAACCGCCAAATTCCCCCACTTAGAACGCTCAAATTCCAATCAAATCCTAAAAAACCGTAGAAACCAGTCAAACTCCCTTCTGGAAACCTGTCAAACCCCCTCTGAAAACAGGTCCAACTCCCGTCAAATCCCCCTAAAAACCGGCAAAATCCACAAAAAACAGTCAAATTCCCTAGAAATTTGGACCTGCGCTTGGCCCACCATTCTGTAGCTCTCTGCGGCTTCTGGCCCTTGAAGCCAGATGGAATCGTGCGGACAGGCACCCACCCTCTATCTTGGAAACCAGCTCACGCATTTTGGCGCCGACTCACTCACCTTAATAACAACACTTCAAGGCAAACTAAAGCACAGCATATGCCTCAAGGCCAGCCAAAAGCGGACTGGCCCAGGCGGGCAACGCGAAGCGTTTACAATAATACAAAAACATGTAGAACCAAGCCCTGGCCGCCTTCAAGGGGCAACTAGGGGGAGATTCAATCAACAGCAGCTTAAACTTGTTTCAGAGGCTTGGCTCACTCCCATCCAGAAAAAGAAGAAAAAACGTGCTTCTGCAAGTTGCCCGTACGTACGAACAAATCCGCCGACATTGCTCGGCGTGTCGGACACCTAAGAGAGGATAGAGGATAACCCCCCCCCCTAACCCCCCCCCCACCCGACGTCTGATACGTGGGGGGGACCGCGCGGCAATTTGATGACGTTCCACTAAACGTAGTCTTCGGGGACCCGGTGTCGCAAAACAGGGGTCCCAGGCTCGATTCCCCCTGCCGGCTTTTTTGCTGGCTTGGGCTTCCTGCATCCTTTTGCCGAAAATCTGGAAAAACTCTGTGTTTTTGGACATCCTCTTTGCGAAAACGCTGGAAAAACAGTGTTTTTTGCGGGAAATACTGGGGAGCAAAGGGGAAGTGCAAGGATACATACATACATACATACATACATACATACATACAGACATACATACATTACATACATACATTACATTACATACATACATACATACATACATACATTACATTACATACATACATACATACATACATTACATACATACATACATACATACATACATACATACATTACATACATACATACATACATACATACATACATACATACATACATACATACATACATACATACATACATACATACATACATACATACATACATACATACATACATACATACATACATACATACATTACATACATACATACATACATACATACATACATACATACATACATACATACATACATACATACATACATACATACATACATACATACATACATACATACATACATACATACATACATACATACATACATACATACATACATACATACATACATACATACATACATACATACATACATACATACATACATACATACATACATACATACATACATACATACATACATACATACATACATACATACATACATACATACATACATACATACATACATACATACATACATACATACATACATACATACATACATACATACATACATACATACATACATACATACATACATACATTACATACATACATACATACATACATACATACATACACATACATACACATACACATACATACATACATACATACATACATACATACATACATACATACATACATACATACATACATACATACATACATACATACATACATACATACATACATACATACATACATACATACATACATACATACATACATTACATACATACATTACATACATACATACATACATACATACATACATACATACATACATACATACATACATACATACATTACATACATACATACATACATACATTACATACATACATACATACATACATACATACATACATACATACATACATTACATACATACATACATACATACATACATACATACATACATACATACATTACATACATACATACATACATACATACATACATACATACATACATACATACATACGAGAGAGGGAGATTGGGGAGAGAGTGGCTTGGGGGGATGGGGAGGATGGGGAGCGGAGGGAGGGAGAGAGGACGACAGAACACACCAGGGAGACAAGGGAGAGAGGAAGAAGGAGAAAAGGGAGAGGACAATGTCGGCGGACTGAGCCGGAGGCTCTAAAGTTTTGGCTGTTTTGGCATAGGAAAAAACAAGTCGAAACTGTGACCCCTAATGGTTGGCTTCATGTTAATTCTCTTTCACGCCGTTCCAGAATTCCACCTTTGACACGCACGCACACACACACATTGGCTGTCTCAAAATAGGGAACCCCCAAATGGGTGGCGTCCTTTGATGTTCCCTTTAAAACTATCCAACAAGAGTACCCTCAAAAAAGTCGCACCCACGTTCACACAGGGCCATACTTCGAGCCAACAACGGCCAACCGCCTCTTGGCTCCTGCTTTAAGTGACATTTGTGGGCGGCACCTTCAGGCGTCTTTTCTAAGCGGAAACCATGAATCAAGCCAAGTTGACACCTCAGTACCTGTGTTTGACTTGGACACTTCTTGTTTCATTCCTTTGGCCCTTCGGGGAATAATGCAGCTACTTGACACATGCAACCATTCTGCCTTTGGTGGTCGCTTTTGCTCTGCTTTTTTTTATGGGCCGAGTTCCACATGTCTCTCACGGGTGATAAAAAGACACAACTGCTTACCTATAGATTGCAGTCTGCTCGCAGGAAAAAGCAGGAAGGGGCCCCGGAATGAAACCCGGCCCAATGAAACAAGTTGTTTATGGCTTCCCCAAACGAACATGGAGTGGGCAACCAAAGAATGGCAACAAAGGACCACATTTCAGCGCATAGCCTTGAAATCCTGGTTGGTACATCCAGCAATTGAAGCTTGGGCAACATCTTGGGAGTAGAAACCAACGTTTGTCCCACACCTATTAAATCACAAAGGCGAACTCGCCAGCCCGCATCAATCACCGCACCAAAGCACCGGAAGCCATCAGCAAAATAGGAGTGTACTGCACAAAACCCTTTTGGGGGTTGCCTTTTGGAACAAAGCCAATGAGAAAGGCCTCCTCCCCCCTCACTTCTGGGGGGTACACCACCGAGCATTTATCTACGAGTTTCCGCAGGACAGTGAATCTATGAGGCGACATCATGGCAACACAACTGGAAGAGGGATACTCACGAAAAAAACACCTTCAGCAGGAGTTGTCGGAGCTTGAAATGCCCTGGGTAATGTTGCTTGCATTCTCAGGCATCTCAAAACGTGGCACCCACTCCCTTCAAAATGAAGTTTGGGACTGCCTTTGTGGGGTGCCATGAAAAAACATCACCGTGACAGCGAATCCTTTTTTTAATAATCCTAACTTTGGGTCCTTTTTACGCTCAAGCCTCACACAGCCCACAAATCGCTCCCTTGCCACCTTCCCCCCACCAAGGTGTCTCTCAAATGGTAGGACCCCAATAAATTAGTTTTCTCTATATATATTTTTTTTGGGGGGGTCCGACCCTTGCACTTGAGAAGCTGACAATTTTCCGGAATTCCACAATGCCACAAGGATAGTCACACTGGAGATTGGATTGGTAAAGGGCAACCCCAAAAACTGCTTCTCATTCTTCCGCCCCAAAAGGGTCTTGATCATTGCACAGCCAAAAGAGCAACCCTGCAAAAGGAGCCAAAGCTAGTCCCACAAGAGGCCCCCATTTGGCCACGCTCCAATTTGACCCTTTTTTACCCTACCAACAAGCATGGTAGCGCAGAGAACCCAGTCCCAGAGGCGATTCGACTTCCAAAACGGCGCACCAAACCAGGGTTTGTTGGTAGGGTACCAACTTGACTCATCGTTGAATCTGCTGGTCAGGGAACGACCTGGCGGATTTTGGGAAGTGAACCGCTTCCGGAGTGCTGAGGGAGGTCACCGTTCAGTTCGGGTTTGCAACTGCTATGGAACCAGCAGGTGCAGCGAGTGGGTGACTTATGGATTTCGGTTTTCCTCTTGGTTTCCCCGCAAAGCCACAAAACGGGATATCCTCAAAAGGAAAAAACGCCGGGCTTCTCCCACCTTCAAATGGGGATGGGTCAAAACGAAACCACCAGACAACCTCAAACAATTTTAGGCCATTGTTCCATTTACCAAACCAACCCATTTAAGGCTTCCGCGAGTTTTCAATCCACCTAACCAAACACCGCCCTTCGCTCGCTTGGATCGCTCGGCGTCGCTCGCCTTCTGACCCGAAGTCCAGGTGTTGAAGCCCACGCCGTACTCCTGGTTCTCCGCGAAGCCGGCCACCTGCCGCCGGCTTGGTCCACGAAAACCAGGTCTTTCTTGGAGTTGGGGGGGCCCCTTGTTGGAGTTTGGATTTACAGGGAAACCAAGAGGAAGGCCGGCCAATTTGGGGGGGGTCCTATTTTGAGACACACCTGTTCGCGGACTCTGTTCCACAGTTCTACCTCAAAATATAGACTAGTTCCTCATTGCGCCAAAACGACAGTGTTCCTTGGAGTGCTGAGAATCAGATTAGAATCTGTCAAACGGGTTTTCTGATGTTCGGGCATCGGGTTAAAGGATGCAACAAAATCAATGGAGACCCATTTCTTTGGGCAAAGGGCCCCTTTTTCCTGGTAAGCAAGAAAGGATTTGAAGGATGCCGGCAAGCACCCGGGCATCTCAAACTGTATCCACTGAAACTTTCCCCAAAGGAAACCAGCCAACACATCCCCATGGCGACCCAACGCACATGATGCCTTCAACTAGGAATCCACAACTGAAATATTTTTCAACGGAAGAAGTTGGGCACGTGATTAAACACTCTCCTTCAGCTTTTCTCGCAAAAGATCCCTCAAGGCTTCCGAGGTTCGACAGGATATATCGAAGGCCATCGGTAACTTTGAAAGGGACGCCATGGCCTTGCAGGACACTCACTTGCCGCTGGCAAGGGCTTATCTGAAGGTTTGGTACACCTCGCCCCACGGTGGTATGGTAGGGGGCCTTACGCCTTGCCCCTGTGCCCGCTTGCGCTTTCTGGCGCCTACACACCACCAAACAGTTCAGCCATCGGCCAGCTTGTTGCAGGCAGGTTTCAGACCTGTTTCGGACCCGGTCTCCAGTTTCTGACATGTTCCATCTGCTGCGCTGCGCAATTTGCGTGGACGCGACATGCACAAACGCACAGCCATCCAGAATCTAGTCAACAGCATGTTGGTCGTACTCTGCCCGTCGAATCCGCGTGTAACGACGTGTCATGGAGCCCTGGCGGACGGGCCAAGCGCTATCCATCCGCTTGAATATACCAAGGTCGGAGAGCCTCCTGATGGGTGGTAGTTAAAGTGTGGCAAAAGAATCAGAATGCAGCGTCCGCCCTGAGTCTGGGTCTGGAAGAGGTCTGAGACGAATTGAAACATCAACTGCCAAGACCCTTGCGCCTCTGGGGCCAAATAGTATACGTCATGTAAGTAAACGTGGATGTTTTATCAGGGGGAGAAGAGACCTGTAAATCAGGATTCGTACAGCTGAACACATACCAAATGCTGTGCATCTCCCAGAATGTTCTTGTGTGTTGCGCTCACCCTTGCGCCCTCCTGTGCGCGCATGGTGTTTTCGAGTATACAAAGGTTGCTATTTGGAACATTCCCTTTCCACTTGGCGGAATTGGCGCCTTTTTTGACGACCCCCATCTACCCCGAAGGTGTAGTCGTACTACCCCAGCCATTAAATGAAAAGGATACCCCCTATGCTTATGCCTACGGCTTGGCAACTGTACCTGTGTTTTGGTGTTTTTGGAGAGAGCATTTACGGAATCGCTCAAGCGCTTTTGCGCAGCAGTAGCTTGTCAATTGCAAGACATCAGCTGTCACTTCTTGGCGCACGAGTCGGCCTTGCTTGTGCGCTTCTTAAATTGGATTTCAGTCAGCACTTCCCTTCCAAGCAGGATTCCAAATAGAAGCTCAGTTGAACCTTGAATTTAATGGTTAGTTTAGTTGTGTACTGGGATCTTATCCAAATATGCGTTCAAATAGAATTTAGATATATGTGTATATATTTGTTTGAGTTTTAAGTATACTGTAAACATGATTTCCTTTCAACTATAAATTTGATTTTCTTTTCAAATGTGATGTTTACATGGGCATAGCTAGAATTTAGTAAGGAAAGATAAGCTGGTAGTTTCCTCTAACCGATTCAATTATAGTTAGGGTGTTTTGAACCATAATTTAGATGGATCTAGGAGTTTAAGTGTTTTTTTCGCTATATTCTAGATAATCTGGTAAGGAAAGACAAGCTGGCTGTTTCTTCTAGTTCTATTGAATGGAATTCGGTTGCGGCTAGCAGGTGAAATGCCCAGGCCGCGATGCCAAATGTTTCCTTGTTGCGGATATGTGTTTCTTCTTGCTGACCCCAACCTCCAAAACAACAAATGCATCGAGAAAACCAACAAGCCAAAAAAGGCAACATTTCAGCCATGTTTTTGCTTTCTCGAGTCGAGTTTGCTCACTATTTCACGAAGAGTACAGGACACCTCGAGAAAACCAAAAAGAACAACAACAAAAGAAAACATACTCCAACAAATACAGGAGTCCATGGGTCTTGTTGTGTTGTGTTGCTTTTTTGTTGTTGTTGGTTTTTGCCTCTTTTGGTGGTGTGCCAAAAAAAACCCATGGGGTGCCCTCCTGTTTTGTTTACGCACCTGCTACAAAGGGCTACTCTCTCTCTCTCTATATATATATTCTATGGGTCGCAATTGGTACATCCTTTGGGGTGCATGGCAACAGTGCTTAGCAACAGGGCATGGACTGCACCCCAATTCCAATGTCGCTTGGAGAGAAACCAGCGGCTCGCTTGTGAAACATATATATATATACACAAAAATAAAACAAATGAATATATACACAAAAAAATATATATGAAAAAAAACAGTCTTTTTTTTTAAGAAGAAACACAACAGGCGATGCTCGGTTGCTGGCCTCCTCTACCACGGGCTGGAACTCTTCCTTCTCCCTTAGCCATACAACTCTCAGCGCTCAGCCACGCCCACCCGACCCCAGATTTCACGGGCCAGAGACTTGAATTTAGGAATTGGTCTGCCACTAAACTCACTTCTTGAGTAGATTGGCCAAACCAAAAAGTCTGAACTTTTCATTTACCACTAACACGGTCTTCCCAAACAGTTTGAAGTCCAGCAACTCAAACAGTGGGTAAAACGGTTTTCCCAGCAAGTCCAACAGCAACTCCCGGAGTGGCTCAATCGCCTGCAAGAAGTGCAACTTGTTGCTGCTCAGTAGGAGTATCCTGTAACAAACGTGGAAGTGCAGTGAACCCTTCTGGAAGATAATGTTCCTTTTGAACAGGGTCCCTTATTTTCATGTGGAAAGAGGGTAGTCATCAATGTCTCAAAAACTCAGATGTGGCCAGGCAATGGCAAGAAAAGGGGCAGCCATCTTTAGTTGGTTCAGTTCAAAAGAGAAACCCTCCGCCAAAAAACTGGTTGAACAAGGAAGACAATCCACTGGGCAACTGGTTGAAACTTAGCAAAATGGTCTAGGGACACCCCAATTCCTATGTCCAGTCACTTGGGAAGACCTTGTCTAAAGATCCTTTATAAATCATATCAGGCGACCGTTTTGCATGCCTTTTGCAACAGGCGTTTCCGGACACGCACTTGGAGTATGTTTAAACTGAACCATCCAACTGGTCCGAAAAAGACAGGCCCATATCTCACTTCTTGAGTTTCTGGAGTTTAAACTTGTTGGGAAGACCATGTTGGTGGCAAATAACAAGTTCGGCTTGACTCGTTTTGACCAATCCACTTGAATCTAGGGATAACTTCCCCATTCTTTCCGAAGCGCCCCCAAAGGCATCAGAGACCTACAGTTTCTGGGCCCACGGCGCTTGGCACTGCGGGCAGCGGAATTCCTCGCCAATGTCCTGAGCCAAGGACTCCATTCCACCGACTCGACTGGCCTGGCCTTGAGCAAAAAAACAATCCATGCATCTCTCACTTCCTTCTAAGAGTTCATTCCTTTTCCATTCTTTTCAACAATCGTTCGTTTCAAAAACCAGCAGTTTCCCTGCGTTTTTAATGGTTTCCTGAAAAGAAGGATCCCTGGAATCATGGAAGGTTAGCCCTAGATTCCTAAGTGGATTGGTCAAAACGAGTCAAGCCGAACTTGTTATTTGCCACCAACATGGTCTTCCCAACAAGTTTAAACTCCAGGAACTCAAGAAGTGAGATATGGGCCTGTCTTTTTCGGACCAGTTGGATGGTTCAGTTTAAGCATATTCCAAATTCGTGTCCAGAAACGCCCGTTGCAAAAAGCATGCAAAACGGGCGCCTGATATGATTTGGACACCTGACGAGAGACGGCGCAATATTCGATTTCTTTTTCCCGGACGCTGAGCAAACCTCTTCGTTCTCGGCCCAAGCTGGTATACCATTCAGGATAGCTTCCGTGCCATTGATCTATTGTCAGCTGCCCAGTTGCCTGGGAAGAAAAAAGTCATCCTGGCTTGGTTGCTGTTGACCCCCTGCAAAAAGTCTTTCACTTTTTGGGCGTGTAGTGGAAAACACCATTATTTTCCAAAAAGTTAAAGTCTAAAGATCCAACCCAACACAACAGGGGTAGAGCTGGTTGGTTGAGTTAAAAGGGGACCCCTTCCCAACAAAAAAGGTCGGCACGTTTTAATCTGAGCATCGTTCCAATCCTCGGCATGATTTTGCACAGGCCACCTTTGACACAAATCGGACCACTTTCTCAAGCAACCCCTGTCCCCGAGTCCTCGAACTTTGTCCCAGGACCATAGCTGCCCTCGCCGAAGAGGGGATTGTACTCATAGCCACCTGGGCTAACCGTTTTCGGGAGCCCATTTCCGGCTTCGCGTACCGTGCCTTCTAGCCGGGAGGCTAGGATGACGACACCAGGAGTCTCATCACACACCCAAGCGACTCCAAGCAGAAACCGTGGCAAGCTGTTCAGCCTGGGGACTGCATGCGAAACTTGGGAAGCAAGCAGGGAGGGGCAACACACACACACACACACCACACAACACATGAAAGGTGTGCGTCAAAATAGCGGATCCCCCCCAAATGGCCGTCATTTGGGTTGTCCTTCAAATGAACAGCTTCCCATGGACTTGCCCTCTGCGCAACATCTTGAAGTGCTCAGAGCTGCTTCAACATCTTTCACTTTGGGCTTCCTTTACCGAACACGCGTCCGTTTTTTCTTCAAGGTTCCCCTTTTGGTTGCTGTTACACGGAAGCCAAAAGGAAACCAACCATTCTAGGGGGGTCCCCTAGAAAGACACCCGCACATGGTCAAAGCTATCGCTGCCCAACCCCGGCATTCTGAGGCGACAGCAGTTTTGGCACTCCCAGCGACCAGTTTCTCTGGTCATGAAGACTTCTGCCTCAAGCTCCAGCGGTTGGTGCGTGGATGTCCCAGTTGCAATGCGTAACCCAGCGAGAATTACACATAAAGCCCTTTTTCGGACTGATTCCAGTAGTGAAACAACCAGAAAGGAACAGGACACGCGGTCGTCACTCTCAAATATGGCACAAAGTGCAAATGGTTTTGCCACACAAATGGACCTTCTCAAAAATCATCGGTAGCAAACCTAGTAGAGATCATGCAGTCCACAGCTGACGGTTTCGCGAATGTGATTTGGCAACACGCGGCGACCAACTGTGTTGCCTTGATACTGATTCGCGTGAGTCACGTGGGGTTTTCATGATTCCGCAATGCTGAACAAGTGATTGCAATATCAACAAGAGTATGGACATACTTCAGGTGGGGATTCATGTCGCTAACCTTTTTGGAGGTGGTTCCCTATTCAGATTCAGAGATAATATGGCGTCCTTGTTTTATGGGGACCCCCTCTTGGTTCGTTCTACAGGGAAACCTAAAAGAACACTCTTTGTTTGCTTGTGGGGGGGTTCGCCCTATATAACAAAGACGAGCCGCCCGAGAAAAAACAAAGTCTACGTTCGTTGCTCATCCCATCTCTCACTCGCGCCTCGGGGGGAGCGAGCTCAGCTTTCTCCTCCTCCTCTGCCTGACGAAGCGCTCTCCGACACGCGGAGCTCCTTTCTTCAGCGTCTGGGGGGGGGGGCGTTCGGTTTGACCAGGGGTGACTTTTCAACCATGTGGTTGAACTGTCAAATACTTTTAGTGGTTTCCCAACCAATGGGCATTCCATGTCAACGACCTTTTGATCAATCAATCCCCCAAGTAGAAAGTCAGAATGAAATCAATCCGGAGCGGACCCTGTTACTCCTCTGCAAATAGTCCTCGTTCGTAGAGCGATCGCCTTTTGAGCAACCCCCCCTCCCATTTTCCGTTTTAACTTGCAGAGCCCTCGACAAGCAGCAACTGAGCAGCAAGCAAACTTGGAAAAGGTTCAGCTCGCAAGGCTTCGAGCCGCAGACTACACTCTTGGTGCAGTCAACGTGTCAACATGCACCAGCGTGAAAGCATGACAAGTAGATGGCACATCTCCCTTCTTGTGGGTAAGTAGAAGTGACTGAGCCAAAATGAAGGGACATGAAACGGACCTGGGCTCGTCTTAGGCGGCTTCCTCCTGGTTTCCCGATAGCAGAAAAAGCACCATCCGAGGGTGATTCCATAAATGGACCCTGGACACCTCTGGAACAGTTTGAGCCCTGGTCGAAACTGTTGAACAAAAACATCATCCGCCCAGACGGCAAAAGCGGCAAGGCACGAGCCTCCATGACAGACACGCCCATGGGCGCATCATACCTGCGAGCTCAACACTCAGAAGGCTGCCTTCGGGGCTTTCTGGGGCCGAGAGCATTCTCTGCGTAGGGGCTACAGGAAACATCTCGTGGGCTTTGGACAAAACCCATCCGCAATCCATCTGTTTGTGTATGGCTCTAAGGGGAAACCAACAGAAACTCAAACCATTTTGGGGGCTTGTTTGGCCAAATCCAAATCGGCGAACTCACAAAGCCACAGGCAGTTGACATGGCAAAGGAAGGCTCACTCACCGAAGTCGAACTCACCGGAGTCCACGGAGTCGAAGTCCTGGCATCGCGCCGGACTCCGAACGCTTTTGGTTGGGAAAAAGTCTGTCTAGAGCTCCCCTCCATTCTAGTCATACTAAAAACCTGGTATTAAAATGGTCGCAATCCCAGAACCATGCTTCAAGAATTCAGAAGGCGGCGAAGGCAGCCATTTATGGCCAGGGGACTATCCCTCATCTTCATCTACCAGGGTTTCGATTGTGGCTCACTTGAGCGGTCGGTAGATTTAGGGACCCTTTGCGGTCCCTCTAAACAGGCGGCAGGCCCCAAAAATGGCCATATGGCCATGGGTCAAAAGCCAAATCATACATCCCAATCCAACCACTAAAATAGGTTCTATAACGGGTGGTGAATTCACCTACCGCAAAATGGAGCCATCGGTTTTGACCCACAATATGTTTACTAATCTTCATCTCCCCGGGTTTTGAGCAAGTGGCTCATAGGAGCATCTCCATCTCAAAGACTTGAGCTGGAGTCGAGGGAGCCAGTTTTCGTCGCAGGGGGCCATGGATGGCTCGTCCTTTCTTGGAGTTGGTACCCAGCCTTTTTGGTGGTTTTGAAATCACACCAGAAGGACCACCACTCTTTTTTCAGAACAGGGGACCCTGGTAGTGCGCTCTTTGCGCCTTTTGAGGCTCGCAGTCTTCTCATGGGTCAGCAATGTCAGTTGCACTTGATCTAACACGTGCAGAGGAAACATCTTGAGAAAACAAGAACAATCAAAAAAGCTCGAGGAAAACCAAAAAAAACACATCGATAAAAAAAAAAAAACAACCTCGAGAAAACCAACAAAAACATGGTTTAGAAACTCTTTGGAACACAACCCATGTTGAACGAGTTTCTAAACCATGGTGTTTTTTGGTTTTCTCGAGTTTTTTTGTGTTTTCGAGTTTTTGTTGTTTTTTTGGTTTTCCTCGAGTTCTTTTGGTTTTCTCGAGTTTTTGTTTTGGTTTCTCGAGATTGTTTGGTTTTTTGGTTTTCCTCGAGTTTTGTCATTTGTTCTTGTTTCTTGTTTTTCTTGAGTGTTTTTGGAGTATTCTATGTATATGATGGGCCCTCCTCTGTTCTTGGCTGTTGTGTATGGTTTATTCAGTTACACTTCTCTCGTGAGCAGCGCAGGCGATTTCTCATGTCATGAGTCCTATTTGAAATAAACTTCACCATAAGAACTCTAATTAATTCCTCTTGAACATCCAAACAAGTGTAAGAAGTCTATTTAAACTAACTAGAAGAAACAACCAGCTTGTCTATCCTTACCAGATTATATTAAAAGTATAATTAAGGTCTAATCAAAAGCCTAGATACTTGGAAGTTAATTTTTATTTCAAGCATGATTCAAAAACATGTAATTGAATTACTCAGAAGAAACAACCAGCTTGTCTTTCCTTACTAGATTCTAGTTAAAGTATGTTTAAATTCCAATTAAGTTTCGGACCGGAGTTCCTATTTAGACTTGGAAGGAATTTCTGTTTCAATTATAATTCAAAATATGAATTCTAGTTCAACTCTAATTGAATTCATATGTGCAAATATAAATTCCTATTTAACATCTGAATTATAATAAGAGTTCTAATTAAAGTCTATTTGAAATCATACTTGGAAGGGAAGTACTATTTAAAGTCTAAATCAAATGAACCGTTGAAGTGAATTCTAATCGAAATCCCGTTTAAACTTAAAGCCTTGCAATTTAAAACTTGCAAACCAAGTGGAAAAATGTGTGTTTTCCATCGGTTTTCACCGGTTTTTCACTCCTCCTGAGGGGCTTGCAAATTAGAAGAAACAACAAGCTTGTTTCTACTTATCATACTATATTTAAATACCAATTAACATCCTACTTGGAAAGGAACCCCTATGTCCATTCTAATATTTACATTGAATTCTAATTGAAATATGATTTAAAATTAAAGCGTGGCAAATTGAAGCTTGTAAACCATTAGAACTGAAATTGCATGTTCCTTGCGGTTCTATTGTTGTTTCACTCCTTTTAAGGGGCAGGCAAATTAGCAAAAACAACAAACTTGTCTTTCCATACTGGAATCTATTTGAATTCAAATTCAACTCTAATGCCAAACAGGAATGAAAGAAAGATGCTAAGATAATTGCAGCTACTCTGGCTTGAATGAGCAGCAGCAATTAGCAGCATGTTACAAAAAACGAAGAAAGTAGAGGACCTTGAGTGATTCAGAAATCGCAGTTACAAACACTCTTCAGCAAAAGCAATCGTACAACTTGCTCAAGATATCAAACCCCAAAATCACAAAAAAGTGCACTACCACAGTCCCCCAGTCTTTTTTTTTTTGGGGGGGGGGTCACTTTTTTTTTGGGGGGAGGTCTTAATTGAAGACGCAACCCTAGGGATGTTCTACCACAAGCCTGGAAGTGCAATGGATATGTGCTCAGCGCTTGAAGCTGCGGGAAACTCTTAGCTGGCAAGGACCACGAGACGCACATTGCGGGCGGCTAAATCAAGCATTGGCTGTACTGTCCTTAGACTGCATGACTGGTGGTGCATGTTGTGTTCGGTCTGTTGTGACATGCAGCATACTGTGCGCAATGGGCAGTGTGCCCGCTGCGGGCAGTTGGTGGCTTGCTATGTACATTGCACTCGGCACGGAGGTGGAGAGAAATGATCAAGAAGGCATACAGCGAGCAAAGGAAAAGACAAAGAGCGGACATATACCGGATTATAGCGGCACCGTACATATCGTGCTTGGTGCGAGAGTGTTTCCACGAAAGCACTGCACTTTGGGTTTAGTTGAAATCTCACCAGGGATGGTCCAATTTAGGGAAGCGAGCATGGCTGCGCAAGGTGCAAACAAAAGACTTCTGCGGGACATCTGGGGAGGCCGAAATCTGAAGGCCTGTGATCTTGGGATCATCAAACCCATTTGAGCTCTCCGGTTCTCACTGGGGATGCAAGGTTGTGAACGTGTAGTCCACAATAATTGCGACGCACACCTCTTCAAAGACACCGCCCAAATGGTTCCCAAGGCCGAACCATTCAAGCTGTCGAAATGTACTCCCAAAAGAGCATGGGCAATTCGCCGTGAGTCCATGAGTCCCTTGGTTTTCGTGATATAATTTCTTCAGTCATGTCCCTGCCCACATAAACGATAGACAAGGAAATTTTGATGAAACCTCACTTGGGGATATCTGGATGTGTTTTGAGGGGACCCCCCCCAAAACAAAAGAGATGGTTTCCGCCTAGTCCCCCCTTTAAAACCACCAAAACAAGAGGTACCCTCAAACAAAAACACACACACACTCACCCATTTGGGGGTCTCTGGGGAGTCTGGAAAGCTCCAACGCCCATTGACGCGCGCCTCGGCCGATCTCGCGACTCGGACTGATCTCGCGGGTGAAATACCCTGCAAGGCGCATCCATCCCACTGGAGCCGCAAAAAGCAAAGAGATCATCTGTATCTGGTTGTTGCAATGGCCACTTGCATGCTGGATGATTGTGAGCTGCAAGCACCTTGGCCACTGGTGCAATGCGTGCTCGGCTGCTATCAGCTTGCTGTGTACTTGGAGCTCCAGCTTGCCAAGCAGCCAGCGTCATCTCTTGCAAAAAAAGAAAGCTCCCGCCTGAACCCAGTTTCCGGATGGCAGCTGCCTGAGGGTTCAGCATGCAGTGCGACCGCGCTGTCCTGCTGGAAATGGGCCGAACTGGTGGAACTTTTTCCCCTTCTCTCTTTCGGAAATTAGTTCATTAGACAACAAACATATACCCTGTTTGATCTGTTTAAGAAAAACATGACTGTCCTATTTGTGCCCTACTTGCCGAAGTCACAGGTCTTGAGGGAAGGTCCCGATGTACCCAAGCGGAGCCAATCTAGACAGAGATCCCGCTGCAAATGAGCCATGGTCAAAACTCCTTCTGTTTTGATAATGGTCGCCTGAATAGGAAAATCGTTACCATGGCTATTAAGGACCCTACCAGGTGACCCCCAAGCAAAGGAACCTGTTCTTTTGGCCGTGGCTCGTCAATATCGAAACTGTCACGATCCGCTGAGCTCCCGTCCATGCAAATAGGAGAAGGGCCTTGGAGCAATACACGGGACGGCTGGAGCGGTGGTACAGTGAGAATGGATGGTTTTCCGGTTGCTTTCCTTAACTCTATAATCCAAAAAAACGGGAGAAAACAACAAACACACCCACATGATTGGAACATCTGAAGAATTCCAACCTGGTCTTCAATGAATCTGATACTCAGGCTAAGTCATTCTGGCTCACCCAGGCCAACCACTTTGGCTTCAACTCGTGACGCACGACCGGGCGGTACACCTCTGCCACGCTAAGCCCTCTGAGTTTCTGCAAAAGGCATCATGATTAGAGTTAGACCCAGTTATAGAATGTATATTTTACGGTTTGCTTCACTTTGAGACACTGGCAAAATGTAAAATGTATCCTAAGTCTAGACAGGGCACGTTGAGACTGTCGAGAAGGCACCACATACAGCGGCCCGCGCTCCACCATGTTTCAAGGGGCTTCCTTCAATAGGGACTTGTCTATGGCAATAGCCTCGCGAGTCTTGCCTCTTCTCAACTTGGTGTCCGACAAGAAACACGATTGTCGGGACTGACCATCCCGCTTACTCTGGTGCCAATAGCTTTTTTGGTCCCTTCGAGGCGGAGGGATGATTTTCGGCTTGGGACAAAGATGGACAAAGTTGTCGTGAATGAACGTGGCAGACACAGTAGACGATGGGCGTTGAAAGGTGGCATCTCCCGCCCCAGTGCCCTTGTGGGCCTTCTGAAAGGAATCAAAGCCATTGCACTTGTTCACTTGTTGGTGACTTCTCCTTTTCAAGGGACCCTCGTTGCCCAAGGCCCCATCACTTCCACACTGCATCCCCTGCAGGCAGTTGACGCTTGCCGGTTGAACAAGAACATAAAGGAAACCAGAAAACCACAAAGTCAACAAGGTCAGCTCAACCCAACGTAAAGTCAAAAACGAAAGGTCAGCTCACTCCGGTGAAAATCGTGGCAATGACAAAAAAGCGTCGCAGCCAACTGCGATGCATACCCCTCGGGTTGTCATTCGGATTCCCCTCGGTTTCTGGCTCCGGCCAAGGCTGGATAGCCAGCACGCCGCCTGGCTGCTACTCCATGGAAGGTGTTTGAAGGCCTCGCTTCATGCGGAATCCAAACTTCTCACCTCCTGACTGGATTGGCACAAACAAATGATGCACTTTTTCATTGCCACTAAAATGGGTTGCTTTTTGTTGTTTAAGGTATAAAGTCCATGAACTCAAGACAAATGCCTTTCCAAGTGTTGTCCTCTCTTTTGCGAAGCCGTAGGTCCGCAATCTGGAGGCACACATCAACAAGAGCCCTCAAACTCCAGACATAGCGCTGCCAATTGCCACAGTCCAAGCCAAATAGATTGAATCTGTGCCATTGAACAGCGATATAAACAACAAAGGAAACATTCCTTTCATGCCACAGCATATATCTACCGTCAACAGTCATCTTGACATCTCTTTTTGCATCGAGCTATCCCTACCACAATAAATACAGCAATATATATATGTATGCTTAACATGCTTTACCATCCTTGTGGACACTGGTGAAAAAGAGAGTTCCAATCCTGGTTCGCAACTTCGAAATCCATGGGGGCCTAATTTCACTGTTGACGGTGGGAAATGCACAGCTTGATCCAAGCCGTGATATCTTTGCAGCGTCACAGTTTTCGGCCCTGCCAAGCGAAAGAACATTGGGCATCCATTTGCGAATACGTCCATGGAAAAATATGAAAAAATACAAGTAGTGAAGATTCCTTTTAAAATCGACAGCGGATATAACACATATTCCTAAGCAAATGGAAGTCAGAAATCGTTTTTTGAGGTCACTTGCTTTTGTGCTTCTTTAAAGGGAACCTACAGGATCTCCCCCACTTGGGGGCTCCGCTACAGGCAAACCCACATATGAGGGCTCTCTAACAAAGACATGGCTGGCATATGCTGACATCAAGGTTCGCGGCCAGGGAGTTCAGGTGAGCGGGGACTCTTCCGTGTTCCGAAAAGCGGAGCTTGGAGCTGACAAGCTTCCAGGTGCCTGATTTCTGCAGGGTCGCAACTGTCTGCTTGGAGTTGTTTAACTTGCGCTGAATGACATGGGTCTTTCCCAGCATCAGTGTTGCGGATTTTGTTTGTCGACCCTCGGTCTAAGAACAGCGAAACAGCCAAAACTTTGAACCTTGGGCCCTGCACTATCGCAACCTGCCACCAACCCAAGATCCCTCCTCCCAGATCCCTTCCCACGCCTAGAGCAGACCATGGCTCCTACTTGATCCCTTTGACGGCTGAGGCGAGCACTTCCCACATCTGGACCCTGGGAGCCCTCGCGGAACTCCGCCCCGAAACCGAAGATTTGCCCATGGATCCCCGACGTGAGATGGTTTCCGGCGGCGTGCAAACACCGCCCTTAATGGAAACATGTTGCCATGGCATCCAACACCGCGGGTGGCTTGGCATATGACTGGGCATATTTGCACGCGCATTAGTCAACAGCAAGGTCTGTTCGGGAGCCCCAAAAGGCTTCTGTTGTGCTTCATGAAGCCTTATCGCGTGTTTCTGCTGATGCTGTGTACAATTTGGCCCAGCAAAAGGCTCAGCTGTAAATCGGCTAGTGACAAGGGTGCCCCATACAGCGGATGGGCGAAATCCATTTCGCACCAGATTGAAACCGTGGGAAACCATTTTGCTTTCTGGTATTTACAGGGGAATAAGTAGTATTGCGGGGTTTCTTGGGTGGTGCAGGATTCTGTCCATCACAGTTAGTGTATGGTGAATGAAGGGCACCTTCCGCGACCCTCGTGACCAACTGATTGGCCGAAATGACTGGCACTGGCTTCCAGCTGAAAGCATGAAAGCATCCTGCCCATCAAGTGGTTTTGGGGTCAGTTCTATCCAAAAAAGCGGGCAGACTTGTGCTCTGACATCTTCGGATGTGTCAAAATGGAACCTTGTGGGCAGTGTTTCCTTCGCACGGTACCGGAAGAAACTTCATGCACTTGCTGCTGGTCTCAGTCTGGCGCACTCTCCGCTGAACACTGGACAGAGATATTATGGGTTTCACGATATAGCCCACTAGGATAATTTGTTGGGAGGCTCCCTTTCAAGAAGAATGGCAAGCCACCTGATTGAGTGAGTCGCGATTTTGTCAGAATCGCATAAGGAGGAATGCTAACCAGGACCATTAAGCGGCAATATTTTATTGGATGCTGTGGCCTCCTGGCATTGATGGGAGGCCTGGCCGTTTTTGCTTGTTTGCTTTCTTTCTTGTTTGTTTGCTTGTTTGTTTGTTTGTTTGTTTGTTTGTTTGTTTGCTGTCTTGATGTCTATTTCTCCCTTGCGCTTTTTCGGACCTGCACCACGGGACCAGCTGTTCAGCCGGGCCTTGTAGTATGCACCCGCGTTGGCATCCTGCGGCATGTTCCTGACCCGTCTCAGGGTGATGTCCACCTGAAATCGACGACCCAAACCGCGGAGATCGTCGGTTTCGGATTGGTTCCCGTTTAAACAACCGGCAAACGGTAATTTGGGGGTGTTGTTCTTAGGCATGCAACTACTTCCGTGATGCAACAAATTGTATCACAGAAGTGGGGCTGAGCCCCTTGATCCAACAACCCTATTTTTGGGGGACCCTTCAACTTCAACATGGTGGTCTTCCTTTTGGTTCCCCTGTAAGACCTGTGTGTGTGTGTGTTTGTTCCATCTTACTAGGTCCAAATGACAAGCCTAGGTTTTGGTTTGGGGCTTTCAAAATGTGTGTTTTTTCCTTTTGGTTCCCCTCTCTGGTTCCCCTGTCGGTTCCCCTTTTGGTTCCCCTTTCACGCTGCCTGGGGCAACCAGGAACAAGCGCTAAACCCTCGTTTGCAGGGGTGTGAAATTTGAAACCCTTTGGTGGACATCATCTACATAGGGATTTGTGCCCATAAAGACATTTCCATTCAGATTCATTGCCATATATCTAGGGAATCGAGCGAATCAGAGTGACACGTGGGCCACATGGGTGTCATAGGGGACCCCCCACTTGTTTGCGCTCATCCCTTTGGCTCCTTTTCAAATCCATTCCATGAGGGTACCCCTCGACCCTCCAAAATTGGCTTTTCTCCGAGTTTGACTTGAAACACGCCGCAAGGGTAAAGCCAAAGTACCCGAGCCGCTGAAAAACGGCTCAACACACCGCGTTCAAGACTTGAAATTCGGCCAGGGTGCTGTAGGCAGGTAGGCCCGGAAGCTGGCTCGGCTCAGAGGGCTGCCAGATTTCACCAGGTCCATGTGGGCTCCGAAGAGGTGGTTGTGCACCTGCCAATCTGTTTTTTTTTGTTTTTTTTTCTCCCGCGCGAAGACTCTGATGATTGGCCGAAGCCCGAGCTTGATAATTACTTTTTCAGGACACAGCCAACAAATTGGGTGGTTCTCCTTTGGATTTTCCCAAGCCGTCAAAAAAGGTAGCTTCAAAAACCTGCGCACCCACTTTGTTGTTTACTGCTGACAGGGGCTTTTCGGCTTCCCCCCAATCGCGCCTCCATGACTGCGAGCAAATCGAAGGCATCCTTTTGAGCCTCCGGATCTCAGAAATCGTGGACCCCGAGAGCCAAACAAAGCCTTGCAAACTCAGCTCTCCCGCCACCGAAAACCAATATGTGACTGATTACACATTAAAACATATGTATATATTATATATATATATATAATATTGATACATACTTCTGAGGGTGGGCCATAGTTGGTGATGCTTGAATGCAACATTTCAACAGAGATCCCGTTTCCCAACGTTTGGGGGGATGCATTGCACTCATTGCGGTGATGGGTTTGATGGGGGCATCCAGAAGGGAACCGCCTCCCGCCTTGATGCTTGGTGCATGGAATGCTTTTGGAGGGGCTGAAGAAGTCACCTCGTGCTGCTTGATGTTTGCCTTTTCAAACCTGAGCAGCAACAATACATCTGAACACTCTCCTTTAATCCAAACAAATGCGTGCAGTAAACAAGTGCCTTTGAACAAAGATATCTGAGGGAACATGGCCTCAGAACAACAGGTCAACTTTGCTGTTAAACTGCACGCGGCTGAGCCAGGCTTAGACCATCTGAGCCCGACTTTGACCCTACAAACAGAAAACCACCTTTTGCTTGTTGAAAGGCTGGTAACTTAAATGGAAATATGGGCAAACATCTGCCATCTCCCAATGGTATAATTTTGACCCTGCACATGAAGGACACCAAAGGGACAAGAACAAGGACAACGGCAAGGTTAGGTAATGGCTGTTCCCAATCAATCCCCTGCTAAAAGTCGACAACTTTTAGTGGTTTAGTAGAAACGACCTCTGAACCAACTAAAATCAACTAAAAACAACTAAACAACCACTAAAAACAACTAAACAACCAAAAACCATTCGAACCGGATGGCTGGTTGAACCAGCAGCCATAAGACGGCAGCTCTGCAAGTCGACCGCGCCTCGAGGTTGTAGGACCGAGCGAAGCTTTCAATTGCTTCCCCAATCTTCCCCCTCACGTCAAGCGCGCACGACGCGTCAGGACACAAATGGCTGAAGTGTCACGTACCCAATGCACCCCCAAACGCCAAGCATCAACGAATCACCAGCCGCGTTGTTAGAGTATTGAATTAATGGAAGTTTTGAACCACTGCCACTTTTCTCATCTCCCTCTACGGCTTCTCCGTGAGAGGAAGTCTCAAAATTAAAGTCTCTCCAGGCCTGCGCTTGAGCGCTTCACCCAAGCCACGCAGCGCGGAAGCTGTCAGGGGGCTGTCATCACCACAGGTGACCTCCCATCGATGCCGAACACTTCAGAAATTCGGTATGCTTCGTTGCTTCCTTGGTATTCCTTGTTTCTTTGTGTCCGTGCCACCCTTGCTTGCCATCTTGTTGGCCTGCCTGCTTGCTTGACGGTTTTCCGAACTGCTTCCTCTTTCTTCCCAAAGGGCACCAGAAACCGAACTGGGGGGAGGGGGGGCGCGGATTGCAAAATCCCCCAAGCAGGGAAACCGCAAGTCATGTCGGCATCCGATTGTTGATAAAGTTTCAGAAAAGCGACAGTCGTTTTGGCCGCACAACGCCTAGCCAATACAATGTGTACAGGTTGGCTGGCATTGTCAGACTGTTGTGCCAAAGTTGCAAGTACACACAACCCTTCCCTTTACAACCCTTGGTATGGGCTTGCAAAAAACTTTGCTTTTTTGCAGCCCCCACCAAAAAATGAACAGAGCCAACCACCACACAAACTAAAAACAGGATCCAACGCCTGAAGTTCCTTTCAATGCGGTTCCAAGCGGCTGCAACAAAAAACGAGCAACCCAAAACATGTGTCGACTTCCCCGAGCCAGCCTCGAACAAGGCCACGTTCTCCTGCTCTCTTTCCACCGCCTCTTCCTGGCTACGGATGGGCTACGTCCGCTCGCCAAACAAAATGCTGGTGTGGGGGGGAATGAGAAATGGAATGACCCCTACTATTTGGTCCTCCAACGGGTGGTTTCCTTTATTCGGGGACCCCGTTCCGGTTCACTCCCACATTCCCCTCGTATCGCACCTTCAAGTATGAGTCATTTCTTGGAAGGTTGAAGACGAGCTGCTGTTGGGTCGGCCCAGTGATCTGGTCACTCTGGGGCAGAACTTGCCTATGTTGGAACTGCCCAGTGTCCTGCTGTTGGTACGGCCCTATGGTCAAAGAAGCATTGGAACCGCAGGGTGGAGCCATGTTCGTCTGGACCCCGCCAGCTTCCAGCCTCCATCTCTTCTCTTTTCTTGCTGTCGGGCTCCTGAGCAAAATGCCAAACGACAGCCCACGAATTCTCCCGAAAGGACACCAAAGGACACCAAACCAGATCTTTCTACCCTTGTTTAGTAAACTTGTTCAGAGCCTTTGGCAACCCTGCAAAAAGGGGCTTAGTCTAGGCCTCTTGTAGGAATGAGAAACTGTTCAATTACATTCCCTGGTGCCATGTGCATCAACGTGAATGGCTTCTCGTTTCATTTGGACCCACTGCCAAACTCTTTGGCCGAGGGAAACTCGGACATCCCGGAGCTCCTGTCTTGACCCTAGTGAACTTTCTGCCGGTCAAAAGGGAAAATGAAGGAACACACGCGCACGAAACAGGCTGAAAAGGAACATATGGGTGTGGCTCAAAATTAAACAGGAGGGGTTACGCAGGGCTTGGTCCATGTTTGCACTTACCAGGTTTGATTTTGGTACCGATTTTTTCAGCCACGGCCATATCATGAAATCTAGGAGCGAGATAGGGCCTTTCAGGCTGAAGTCTGACCACGCTGGAGTCTAAGGCCTGCAACGCCAGCTTCAGGAGGATCTTGGCGATGGACATGCCCGCCTTTGCCACCAGAGATGATGGCCTCGGCTGAGCGAGTCGAGTGCATGTGACCCTAAAGTTGCACTATTCCCCCAACCAGGGGGGAAACAAGGTCGCGCTTACAAAGCGGCGAATCAGCTACAAACACAGCTTTCCAGATTTCAGCAAGACCACTTTTCAGCCTTTCTCGCGTTTGTGAGGGGCAGGAACCCTCTGTGTGATCCATATCTGTGCATCGGGATCCGTGCTTGGCAAGTTGAGTCGGAAAGTACATCATGTACGGGGTCCCTTGTTTGTATGTTCGGGAAGCTAGTTTTCGTGCTTGTGCTGTTTGCTTGTTGTGCGGCAAGCACGAAATGCCCCCAATTTCCAAAAAATGGCGGCAATTGCCATACATGGCTACTGTGGACAAACAAACTCTTGCACCGGTTGAAGTTGGCAGGTTGTTTTATCCCCGTATTCATAGGCTTCCATCCTGCTGGTGCAGGGATTTGTCCGCGCAAAGTAACACATGTCATGCCCATTCACCAGTGTTTCAAGCCCTTTGAGGCGGCACCTGCTTCGAAAGCTCATTTTCTAGCTCGCTTGAGGCCAAGAAAAAACGGGAACAGAGCGCTTTGATAGGATACACGACATGTTTCAAGGGGAAGCTCGGAAACTCGGAACGAGTTGGAGCAGCACACTTGTATCTGACAGGCTTGGGTCCCAGCTTGCCGTTTGCCCGCTGCCGGAAGAGCGCCTCTCAGAACCCAAAACTCGGTCATTCAAAGTCCAGGGCCCCGGGAAGAACAAATGTCACTCTTTGTTGGGGGTGGGGCAGGGGAGGGGCAACCTACCACTTAGAGCAACTGGGAAAGAGTGGTTTCTGCGTGGACAGAGATCCTCGATTGAATACATGCTGCTTTGGTCCCTCTGCAATACGCATGCTGGCAGATTCCCGAACTGTGTACCTCTTTTCCAATCTTGGAAGCTGACAGAAGGGTGCTGCCATGGTACAGTACTACTGAACAAAAAACGCTTCCTCTTCCATGACATGGCCATGGGTCAAAATCCCGCACCCCCAGTGAACCTCCCCATCCCCACTAAAATAGGTTATACAATCGGTGGAAAATCCACCTACCCCAAATTGGGATCCCATTGGTTTTGACAACCACAGCCATATTGGAAAGAGGGTACCTAAACATTAAAGTGGAACATCTTTCAAGTGCAAAAGAGCCAAGGCAAGGCAACCAGAACTGAACCTGGACAGTTGCGGATGCCAAAAGTGCCTGACCATGTTGCCGTCTCGCTGGGTGTTTCGTCTCACTGGTTCAAACCAAAAGGATACTTCAGCTCGACCTGGGACAGGAGGTTTGATTAGGATTTCTCCCCAACAGCTGGAAGGTTTTGTGGTCTTTGCCTACATAGGCAGCTTTTCAGGGAGGGTTCCAGAGGGTTCCGGGGCTCTTGGGGATATCACCTGGGTATACTTGGAATCACCGATGATGTTTGGAAGCACCTGAACGGCAGACTGACATTTCAGGGTCTTCATACCTGCCATGCCTAGAGTCATGGTGAGCCAAACTCATGGCTTCCCTTGGTCGGACCCATTCGTTGGATCTTGCTTGTTGGCCTTCGGGATGTGAACATTTGACGTGTACAGTGTGCAAGAATTCACTTCTTCCTGCCGTGGATTTGCCCGTCCACAATCATCCGGGTTTGTCTCTTTTCGGGGGGGGCTGACAAGGCTGGTATCCGGCATCATCTCTCTCGTAGAGTCCGTCGATACGAAATGGTGTGCTCCATTTGGCCCCAGGAACACACGCAAGATGCGTGGCCACATCTGTCCACCTCCTCTCACCCATCGTTTGTAGCAAGATAGGCAAGTAGGCCTTGAGACCATTTCTAGTGTCTTCAAGACGGTCTTGATGGGAACCATCCAACACGAGAGCCCACGTGGTATCCAAAGGTGGACCTCTCAGTATAGTCGATCTTGAACTGGGCCATGTTCGAGTCAGTGAGGGACGGCCAATTTCTGGCGACTCCCGTGGAAAAAGCATATATTATATATACACATATTTCCAAGAGTGATAGATTCCCTGTAAAAAAACAAACAAACTGGGGACAATAAACATATTAAGCAAATGGAAGAAACGGTGTTTGTCCTTTTGGCTTCCCTTTGAACCAACCCAAAACTGATACCCGCAGAAACAGACGAGCCACCAGTATGGAGCCAAAGCTGTGGAAATCAAAACCTAGTGCCTGTCCTTTCAGCTGAAAAGACACTCAACAAAACAAACACCAGGTGAGTCATACCCAAAACCCGATACAAAAATGGGCTACCTAGAACTAAGAAGGCAAATTAAGAAGGCGGATATCCGCAGCTACTTATGGTTGGGAGTGTCCCTTACTAACCGCCATTCACCCGAATCGGTTTTGAGCACGTGGCTCAGGTGAAATCTCGGCCTCAAAAAGCTCACCCGCCCACCTCTCAAGAGCCAAGAGCAAATCATGATTAGACTAAGGCCCAGTTCAAGAATGTATATTCTATTGTTTGCTTCCCTTTGAGTCACTGATAAACTGTAAAATCCATCCTAAGTCTACCCCAGAAACCTTTCTGGAAGCAAAGCCAATGGGATGTGACCCAGTCGAAGTAGCCAAGGAATGGCGCGAAGAAGTGGATGCAACACATAAGCCACTCCGATGGTTTTGCCGGGCTGTGGATGGACAGCCACTGCGCACAGCTGAGATGTTTGATTATCAACCAGTATTTACAGAGACTGGTGCAAAATGGACTTTGTCCATCCACAGTTTCCCCTTCTCGGTTGGCCAGTGGTGTCTCTTGCTCTTTTTTCGTGCAGAGAGTTTCCCTTCAAAGTCAACCAAAATGGTTATCATTCAAACACAAAAACAAACAAACAGACAAACCATGCGTTTGGATTCTGTTCATGAAACAGAAGAACAACTCTTTTGCTGGAAGCTCCGGATGGTGAACCCCCTCTCACAGCTGACAGCTGCTTTCAGTTTGCCTGAGACTCGCGGACTGCAGCAAGGGCCTGGCGCGATTGGGAGATCGCGGCCGGACCAAAAGGTGTGGAGCTTCAACTCACAAGGCCTGGAACAAAAAGGGAAGCAGGGGGTGTCAGCCATTGCCTACATGCTATGTGAGCATTGGGGGAACAGTGCAGGGGAAGCGTGTGCATCTCGGGAGCCCAAATAAAGCCTCAAGGGCTCATATGGCAATGGGGAAAACGTGGCACTCTTGTCTTGGTTGATCTTAAAGGGGCATCTCTGTCCAAAAAAAACACAAAAGGGCACTCTTCAAGGACAACCCCAAAATCGGGGTAACCTATCCCCATTTTGGGATTAGAACCCCATTTTGGGGTTACCCAAATAGTTTTTTTGGGGTAGACTTAGGATGCATTTTACATTTTACCAGTGACTCAAAGGGAAGCACACAATAGAATATGCATTCTATAACTGGGCCTAAGTCGAATCATGAGGAGAACCATGATTTGGCTGTGGGTCAAAGAAATACGGTAACCCCAAAGTGGGTTGTTTTGGTAAACGGAAGCATGGAAGCATTTGACCAAAGCCCATGTGTTGGGCCTCTATTGTGACACATGTGCAATACTTGAATCAAGCCGACAGTCGAGCAACATGATCATTAAAGGAGCGATGCCCAACCAACACACGTGGGACTCACGGGTTCCTTTCTAGAGGAAGATTGGCGTTACTGGCTTAGTTTGCGAAGCATGGGTTCAGACGTGTGAAACTTGAATATGATTGTCTTATTGGGTCAACGTTTGGAAGCATATTTGCCTTTTTGCCAAACTAATGGGGGTAATCAGGTTTAGAAAGAGAACGTGGGTTGCCGTGGTCTGGGGTTGGACAACATGCGGGATTTGCCTTTGGAAGTGTAATGTGGACTAGCAGATTCGCTTGATGGGATTGAACTTGGAGGATCCGTCTATTGAGAACCCGCCGTTGATCATGCCTCATGTGTGGCTACGTACCGTACCTGTCATGAGTTTGATAGTATGATAGGCATAATCCCCACGAATCCTTTGCACCTAGTGATTCTCAAGGCCTCTTCCAACCCCTCATTTGTTCAGCGCTTCTCGAAAAAGCTTGCCCAGGCCAAGCCCCATCTGTTCTGTTGAAGCTGTTTGCTTGCTGGCCTGGTACTGTTTCTCTTGCTGGCTAGCCTTGATTCTGCTCCATCCAGAAGCTTCGTTGAGCTGATTCGTGTCTTTAGTGTGCGTAAGGAGCAAGTATCAATTCACGTAGTTGGGCACAAGGTGTGTAAACTCCTGCAGAGCGGCAAGGTGCAAAAGGGCTAATCATCCCGAATGACTGGAGCAAGTCGGTCACAGAAAAGCGTCCACGTGAAAACCACAAGTGTACTCTAGTCTTCACAACGCCCGTTTGGTTCCTCGCTTCCTTGTAGACGTGCAGGAGACAAGGGAGTAGGCGGTCAGTCTCGTTTGTGGCCAGGACCAACACCTGTTGACATGGCCCCTTTCAGCTCACCCCAGGTCCACCCAGGTCCACCGGCCGCGATCCGCGATCCGCGCTCCGCCTTCTCAAAGCGGCCCAGGCGATCCTCGATCAGCCCAAGGCCCAGCAGAATTCCTGGAGAAACCATCGGACTCGCAAAATTGGGTCGGACCTGAGTCGCAATCCAACCACAATCCCCACGAAACAGAACCATGCTTCAAGAACTAAGGCGGATCTCCGCAGCTATTTCTGGCTGGGATCCCTTACTAACCTTCACTTTCCCGGGTTTTGAGCACGTGGCTCACGTCTTGTTTTTATGGGCCCGTTTATGGGTTGGTGTCAAAGGGAACCGGCTTGGAGGGGGTGCTCATTTTAGGTAGAGGGATTCCAAAGGGAAACCAGCGCTCTGGAGGGGTCCCTTTTCCTATTTTACGACACGCCCAGGAGGGATCCTGAGTCTTCTCGCACGACCCGAAACCTTGGCCGAGCCGTTCGATTTCGCAAATGGCCGTCATTGCGGATGTGTTGTCTGTGTTGTACATAGCCCCGCAATCCAAAGATAAGGCACTGATGCAAAGCTATGGAGAACCAAGAAGCCAAGAAAGCAAGGAACCAAGACACCAAGCAGCCACCCAACCAAGCTTCAGCCCTAAACCGGGGCTAGAAGATAACACCGGTTCCGAAAATGAAGGAACACCAAAAAGGCGAACAGCTGCAAAGGTAAACTACGTCTGGCATTGGAAGCACCCACACCTGCGCGATCTCCAGTCTTCTTGCCGATCTTCTCCTCCTCATCCAGGCAGAGCAAAGCCTTGTTGAAGTAGTTCGAGGCCTGGGCAAGTCGCAAGCCGAGTCAACCAGCTACTCTGCCAAACGTGGAACCAGAAAACAGGCCATTTTCTACAAGAATCCCCTTTTCTTTTTTGGGCACTCCCTTCAAACAAAAAAGAGACCACAAAAACGGGCGCGGCCCGAACCTCCGGGCTACTCTCGCTCGCGCCGGTGGGTTGCGCCTCGTCGTAGTTCCCCATGGAGCTGTAGGTGTGGCCCATGTTTTCGCAGAGCGCCGCGCTGCAGCCGATCAGATCCTCGCCGATTCGATAGGAGTGGGAAGATCCTCGCCGGCTTGGGTTACGCTCCTGTCCATGAACATGGAATCCGACTGAGGGATCCTGGAACACGGTATTCCTTTTAAAGGGAACCTCTGGTGAGTGCCATTTTGGTGGGCAGGAAGGGATACAGAAAGTCAGATTTTGTGATTCGGTTCCATATCTGGTCCACCAAGATATAACCTATTTTTGAAGGAGCTCACCCGCGTTGCCAAGGACCTGACTGGCGGTCGCTGGAAGACTCATTTTCACTAAAGGGCCTTCTGGTAGATTCCATGTTGGCAGGGTTCTTGAGAGCAATACACTTCCAAATGTAAAGGAGCCGCGGGTCCAAACCAGGCCGACCCTGATTCCGTGTCCGATTGAGACTCTTCAAGATCCTTCCTCCGGTGGACCCTGAACAGGTTGCTGCCAAATCGCCGATGCCAGCAAATACCCCTACATCACCCAACCTGCAGGAAACTTGCCTCCTGTCCTCTAGGGATCCTCTGGTCGGTTCCATGTGAATTGGTGGGTCGGGGGGGAAACAATTCAACTTGGTATGAGAGGAGTTTACCTAAAACCACATAACGAACTCCAAGGGAGGCAGCATCTATTGATGGGGACTTGCTGCTTACTTCCCCAATTCACCGAGCTGATTTTTGAGCGCGGCTCAATTCGCCCAAACTGTGATGCTCAAAAATACTTTTGAGGCCCCGGTCGTTGCCTTGCTTTGAGAGCCCGGTTAGACTTAGGCCCAGTTATATCATGTATATTCTATTGTTTGCTTCCCTTTGAGTCACTGGTAAAATGTAAAATGCAAATCCCAAGTCTACCCAAAAAAAACATCACGGGCCTCGATCTCGTGGAAGAGCAGGATCGCATCTTTGAACTGGGACTTCTTCCAAAGGGTGAAGGCCAGCGCCTTTTTCGGACCATCAGACTTGACAAAAACACATTTTTCTGCCCACGTGTTTTTTTCCTTTCTGCCGAAAGATCCATGGGGAACCCAAAAAGCGTTTTTCGGTGTTCTGCTCTCCAAAGAATAAAAAAACCGAAACTGAAGGGATTTGGTGTTCGGATTTGGTGTTCTGCTCTCCAAAGATCCATGACCGGAACGAAAGGAATTCGGCTTTCTGCTCTCCAAAGATCCACTACCGGAACCTCAGGGATCGGAGGTTCCTTTGCGGAACAGGTGGAGGGTACTAATCAGGCTCAACATGGCTGGACTCAATCCCCGCATAAACCTGACAACCAGTTTGCGGGAATGACTTGCTTGTTCCCTTGCATGAACAATTGGGAACCAAGTCCAAGGAAAGGGTCCGACATGGTCCTACCGATGCTGTGACTATGGGACAATGACTACAAATCAATAAACATCTGATCCAACAGATTCAAAGCGATTTGCCTGCCCAAACCTTCCAACAATCCGGTTCACTGGCTTGTTGGTGGCAAACGCCTTCTTTAGCGTCCCGCAGGTGGGCGAAATGGGGCCACGCGGACTACTTTTGGCTGGCACAGTTGACCACATCCAGGTCTATACACCAACTGTCTAAGCGTGGCATAATGGGGATTTCCGGTCCGGGTTCAAGCAAACATATTGACCCCATATGAAGCAACCCCTGCTTATTGATATGTGCTCATATGAGGGTCTTCCCCTCAAAAAGTCACGTGAAGCCCGTGTCGAAGGACATCCGAAGTTTACTCCGACCTTCTCTTTTGTCAACTCTTCTCGCCAAAAGAATGTGAGACAATGTCTGCCTCAGGATTTCTTACTCTGCTCGACCTTCAATTGAACCCCCAACATCCGAGCTGACTTTTGGTTCTAACATGGTTACGAAGGGTCATAGAGACACGCATCTCGCGGACTAAAACGGCCCTTTGGGGTGTTGGGGGCTTGACAAATCTGAAGCCGGCGCGATGCCAGCGAAATCGGCCAGTTGTTTTTTCCTGTTTTTCATCCGTTGCTTCGTTGGCCCTCCGCGTGCTGCATATTTCTGCAGCTTTTGAAGAGTCACCCTACGGCTTTGCCTATGGCCGAAACAACTGGCGAAAATAAACTTCTGGATACTGACACTTTCCTGACCCCACTCTCTCTCCCTCTCGCACGCGCACACTCACAGTCTCTCACACACACACAAATACACTTTGCAAATGATATGAGTCAATCTCCAGTAGACTGATTTTCGCCAGTGTCACATATGCCTCATTCCTGTGTGCTGTACACATCCCGTGGTGAGATTCCAAAGATGGTCCTCGCAAATAAAGGCGAAGGCAACTTTGGCCCCGGACCAAATCACGAAAGCTATGATCAGCAGCAGCACAGGCAGGCCTTCAATGGCATGGAAACACCTTGTTCCCTGGAAACAAAAGTCAAAATGAGATCTTTGTGGTCAGTGTTCAATTTGTCTGCCCTGTCCATGTTGTTATGGAGCCCACCAGAGGGGCCCTTGTAAACAAAAAACATGTGGTCGTCCAGGACCCCTTAGTCAGAATCCAATACAAAGTGGGTGGAAGGGCTCTAGAAACAAAAGAAACCGGCAGTAGCTGGAAACTAAAGGTAATTTCTTGCTCTGGAGGTCTTGACCTTGATCCTGAGACTGTTCTGCTTTGCTCCTCTTTTTCAACGGCTTGGATGCAAACTTGTTGCTGTGTTTTGATCCTTAGGGAACCCTCGTGTTATGCTCCTCTTGGATGACTCGAACCACAGCTGCAGCCTATCGGCCCAAAGCTAAGGGCCCATGAACAACGCGTACGTCACCTCGCGCCTGTGCAGCCCAAGTTCCTCATGCCGTGGGAGGCACGATGAAGCAGAATCAAGGCACCCAAGACGCAGGCCACAATCACCTCGATGTCCGTCACCCGGGGATCATGTGGCTGTCAAAAAAAGATACCCATGGGCTGCCCTGGTAAATGGACACATGGACAAAAATGGCTGTGGTGGTCAAAAATAGGGTAACCCCAAAATTGATTGAATGGAACCCTGGTAAATGGACTGAGGCTTCAAACTGGTGATGATGGCCCAGCTCGATGAAGTTGCGAACAACCACACAACCAGCAGACCATGCCGCACAGGAACTTATCTCGTCCAAACATGAGTTTCCTGCAGAGCTCAAGCAATGCACACCAAACAAGAGGTCATTCAAATTCAGTGGAGGAGACCAACATTTTCCAACCCCTAAGTAGTTGTTGGCCGCCTTTTTTCCACGTTGGGATATAGGCCCAGCAAAACAGGTTTGGGGTTGACAAAAGGGGCCCTTTTACTGGATCTCACAGTTTTCTTGGCACACAACTTGGGCCTGTGTCAGGGAGAATTCTGGGAGGCCTGTGCCCAAAGCGCGCAGAGCCTGTCTGCCACATAATTTGTCACTGGGAGGCCTGTGCCCAAAGCGTGCAGAGCCTGTCTGCCACACAATTTGTCACTAAAAAGGTCGTAAATTGCCCAACAAAAGATCAGCCGTTTTTTTGGAGTTGGTACTGCATCTGTTTGGGGATTTAGGGAAACAAACACAATAAATTTGGATAAAGCGCCAACAAAAGATCCCCGCCCTTCCTCCCACGTTACCATGGCACGTGGGAGGGTACCTTGCCAGATCCGTTTCATCTTGGGAGAGGTGCCATGTTAGTAGGAGAGAGGGTAAGTCTCCGAACCAATCGCAGATCGTGCCCAACACCAAGCAATTGTTGGAAGCAGGATGTATATTTCACCATCTTTGTTGAATGAAGAGGACTCTTCGGTAGCGTCAGCTCCATCTTGCTCCAATTGAGCTCCAAATGAAAGCTCTCTTTGGGGCCCTGTGGCTGAATATGCCTTCTTATCAAAGCAAAACAAAAACAATTGGCTGCTCGGGGCAGGGGTGTATTGATGCTTCAGCCTCCATATCCTTGCTCATGGGTCAGGACTGCTCACGATCAGAGAAAGGAACCTTCAAGTTGGAATTTGCACAAAAAGGGTAGTGAGGAGTCTGAAATGCAATTTGGAACATGGATTTCCTTCCCAGGACCGGCCCAATGATTACTGTGTCACTTCACATGCAATTCCCTTGGTAACAGAATCAAACACCAAAACCAACTTTCCCCAGCCCAAATTTGGATCGGATGTTCGATTGCTCTGTCGCGTCCCATCACGAAACCTCGGGTCATGAAAGACCTTCTTCCTTTTAAAGGGGGCGTTTCCCTGGCGGGTTCCGTGTGGACCAAAGGGCAAGAGGGACCTGGTGGCAGGTTTCATGATGGCTTGAAGGGAAATCAACAGGAAGCTCACCAATTTTTGAGGGTAACATAAAAAAGAAGGAGTACCCCACAAAAAAAAGGGGGGCGTTCCCCCAGAATGGCTTGGTTTTTCCTTTCGGTGTCCCCCTTGACTTCCACCCAAACAAACCGGGGCACCCCCCCAAAAAAAGGAGACCCTCCCCCAACGCGATGCCGGAGTTCCTTGCAGTTTTCCAAAAGAAACGGGGTACCAACCCGGGAGGCCTTGTCCTTGGCGCCGGCGGACTCCTGGTGGAAGGCCAGCGCCAGGAAGGAGCTCCTCAGTTCAGTGACCCTGGGAAAAAATGGGAACCCTTTTTGGGGAAGACCATTTTAGTGGGGCAGCCACCCAAAAAAAGGTTGGGAAAATTGTGCCACTGAACAATTGAGGCTCTGGATCCACAGCTGGAAGCAGCGGCCCACGAAGGTCTTCAGCAGCCTCGGCGGAAACGGCTTTGACGAGGCTCGGCAGGCGCGGCCGGGGGCGGCTGGGGGTCGGAGAGGTTTCCCATTTAGCCTCTATGTGGATGGGGGGGAGGGGGGGAGGGCGGGCGTCGGCTGGAAGGACCCAGTTGAGTGTGAAGGGTTTGCACTCACTGAAAGAACATGGGGGTTTATTCAAAGCACGAGAGTTCTTCAAACATCTACGAATAACGAGGAAGGACCAACACCGTCCCAAGGATGCTTTCAGTAGCTTCTGTAAGAACCCTGCCGCTTTGAACAAGTAAAACGACAGCTAGAGACATGGTGGCACATGTATACATATACAGGTATAAATATGTATATATATATGTATATATATATACATATATATATATATATATATGCACATACAAACATAACAGCCCCAAAACGAAAAACTCTGCATTGACTTGTCAAAAGCATGAGCAAGCCACTGTCTTGGTCCTAATTTCTGCCTTCATGAAGGCAAACCTCAGCCGAAGAACAGCTCGCATGGGCTGTACCCCACAACAACCCGCTGTGACTGGCTTAGTTGATGCAGCATCCACGTGCTGAACCCAAACACATGGCACAGTCAGTCTGAGACCTTGGACGAGCATCGCATCATTTGACTTTGCTCACGCCACGGGATGATGTCTAAAGCAAAGACACAAGGGACGACTCGGATGGATGAATCATGGGCTGGATGCGTTCCGCTTTTTCACTGCAAAATATTCGACTTAGCCCAGCTGTCACGGAAAACAAGGAAAAAAAACACTTGCAACGCCGGCGTCGTCACTTTTTTGAGCGAGTTTGTTTTGAGTCATGTTTGATGTCTCTGGCTGGAGGACACCAGCTTTCCGAGTCGTTTCTCTTTGAAACCATCCGCGAAAAAAAGAGACTCAAACCCAACACACGCGTTTTCCAGGAGTTGTGTTCGTGACCGCCATTCGCCCAGGCGCAGCAGCATCAGGAAATGGATGCTCTCCGACAAGTGCACATGGGCCGCCAAGGTCTGGTTGAAGTCCTGGCTAAGACAGCGGTCACCTGCGGATTCTGCCATCAACAGGATACGTATCCATATCAGTGTGGCTCAAAATTTAAGAGCTAGGGTTACATATGTTTTAGTCTTTGGTTCCATTTACCAAGGTGCCATTTTGGTACACGTTTTGGAGCCACAGCCATATTTGGTGGTTCCAAAAAGGAAACCGTCCCCAAAAGTTGATCAATTGA